TAAACCAGGCTGGCAAGACTGTTCTTATTCCATTTCATTGCTCATCTGGGAAGATTGATTTAGACACCAGAGAAATGCATAGTTCAAAAGTGTAAATTAAAAGTTCAGGAAACCTTGCGACTCTGTTCTTCGCCAGAAGTGTAACTCTTCTCAGGTCTGTAATTTCTCCTCCTTCTGCTAATAAAACACATCCTTGGAACTCATGTGACTTTATTCAAAACTACGTCTTCTTAGGGCTCAGTAGTTGATAATTTAGGGATGCGGGTGGCGCTGTGGTCTAAACCACAGAGCCTAGGGCCTGCCGGTCAGAAGGTCGGCAGTTCGAATCCTCACGAAGGGGTGAGCTCCCATTGCTCGGTCCTTGTTCCTGCCCACCTAGCAGTTCACATCAAAGTGCAAGTAGATAAATAGGTACCGCTCCGGCGGGAAGGTAAATGGTGTTTCCGTGCGCTGCTCTGGTTTCGCCAGAAATGGCTTAGTCATGCTGGCCACATGATCCGGAAAAACTGTCTGTGGACAAACGCCGGCTCCCTCTGCCTATAGAGAGAGATGAGCGCCGCAACCCCAGAGTCGTCTGCAACTGGACTTAACTGTCAGGGCTCCTTTACCTTTTTAGTTGATAATTTAGCATGCAGGAAACCCCAGTTCAATCCCTGGCACTCGGGGCTTGGGAAGATTCCTGACTAAAACATGGGACAGCTGCTGCCCCTTCTGCTTCTGAATATGCAGCACAAATGCCATCAGTGGGAGGCCAGATGTATGGCACTGCCTCTTGTCTTCCAGTTGCTCCTGGATGATATAGATCGATGGTCTAGTGGTCTGGCTATATTCCTAACTTCAGTGCTCTCATGGTACTTTACAGACCATTCCAAAACCTTTGCTCTCTCCTGAAGAATTTCCTTCATTCAGCAGCAGCAACCACCAAATAAAGCAGACACTCCCACCTCTTAGCATTGTGTGGAGGTACAGCGCCAACCTTACCATGTGCCATGACTTCTGCTTCCGAAAAGGTTCAGGCAATGTGTGTAACAGGGAGACCACCTGAGAGCACTATGACTATTTGCATCCCATGCATGTGCAACGTTCCCCTGGGTCTGATTGTGTTGTAGTAATCACATAATTTAAAGAAGCTAAAGGTAAAGGACCCCTGACAGTTACGTAAGTCCAGTCGCGAACGACTCTGGGGTTGCGCTGCTCATCTTGCTTTACTGGCCGAGGGAGCCGATGTTTGTCCGCAGACAGTTTTTCAGGTCATGTGGCCAGCATGACTAAGCTGCTTCTGGCAAAAAAGATCAGTGGACGGAAGCGCTGTTCACCTTCCCGCCGGAGCAGTAACTATTTATCTACTTGCACTTTGACGTCCTTTCGAACTGCTAGGTTGGCAGGAGCAGGGACTGAGCAACAGGAGATCACCCCGTCGCAGGGATTCAAACCGCCAACCTTCTGATCAGCAGGCCCTAGGCTCAGTGGTTTAGACCACAGCACCACCCGCGTCCCTATCATATTATTTAGGACCCCCCAAAAGTTGTTGAGCTTATTTTTTTTATATAAAAACGCCAGAAAAAATATGACATGCCTAAGATCCACTGCCTTTCAAATATTCCCGCCCAGATGTCAATTCCAACTTAGAAATCCTGGTAATGTCTGGGAGAATCCAGACCTGTGGCAGCCCTCCATTTTATCCCCTGCCCATGTGTTCTCCCACCCCAGCTGCATTAGTGAAAACAGTGGGAAGTAGCCATAAAGTGACCAGGTATAATTACACAGTGTTGCTAAAGCACAGAGGGCCAAACTAGACATGATGTTAAATGTGAGGTGCTTGTTTCTCCCCAAAGGCAAATTGCATCAGCAGAGGGGTATAATATTTGGGATTGCAGAAGGCAGGGAGGAGTTTTAACTATTTTCTCCGCTGCTGTGGTCCTGAAAACCCCCCCTGCCCATTTGAAGCTGATATTTGCTTTCAGAGGATCCCACTCCCTCTCTGATGGTGCTTATCAGGGAAAATGTATGTTAAATGCAAAGGCATATTTAACATCCCATCTAGTTTGGTGCCGGTTGACATTTTCTGTGGATTTTGCATCTCAATCCCAGAATCTATTCCCTAGTCAATTCTCATCAGACTATATATGAAGGAAGCTAAGATCACTTTTCACTCTACATGTACATTAAATCTCACCTGTTGCTGCTTCATTCAGTTTGGAGAGCCTAGGTACAGTGCTCCATATCCGAATATTATGCACACTTCCTTGCTGGTAAACTGCATTGAACACAGTAGAATTTACTTCCAAATAAATCTGCATAAGCTGAAGCTTCAGATTACTATGAGCACTCACAGGTTATATTAAACAAGTGTACAGTACAATCAGTGTAGCTGTCCACAATAGCTGATTCTACATTTGTAGTTATTTAAATTACATGGTTCAACAAATGTAGAGTCTGTGTACCTGTGCCTTCAATAGCTGAGCTGTACAAATCAACAGCTGTATGCTCTTCACACAAACAGCTTCTATCCGTGTTCAGTGTAGCATAGGAACAAGCCTCATGTGAGACTCTGATGCCTGTCTCTCTAGTCTCTGCCTTTCATTTTTTCCCTGCTTCCTCCGGGGTACTGTCATCAATACTCTAGTCTGCTGGTCTTAACTACATTTCCTTCTAACTAATCAGAATTCCCAGGGCAACAATTTAATCATTCCGCCACCAGTAACTCCTCTACCCTCCTTACACATGTGGAAATACAGCTGCTGGTGGCAAATAAGAGACTTTCTGTCTATTGCTTCCCCAGCCCAATTGCTTTAACCTCTTGCTTTGTCTAGAAACATTTCAAACAAAACGCACCTATATGAATGGATGCATTGTAAATCCACACACTCTCTATGTGCATTTGCACATCTCAAGGCTTGGCAAAGCCCTGATTATTCGCTGCTCTGTTAACTCAGTTTAAAAGCTGCCTTAAAGATTAATGAAATTAACACAAGGCTAACGCTTTTGCCAAATCTCCCAACGGCAGCAACATCTTTTGCCAAGTGTTTCAGTAGGATGCTGGAATTTCCAGCACATGAAATTTGCTTTGGTTTCCCTACACAATGAACACAGGCCAGAGTCTATAATCCAGAGGGAAGCTAGGAGTGAAATCCAGAAGAGCAAAGAGGTGAATTGATTTGTCTCACTTCAGCTATAATGATCAGATTAAGTATAACCACAGTTTACTCCTTTCTGAGCTGTTGGAGTTAAACTCTTGTTATCTTGGGGCTAAACTAGACATGAGGAGGAGGAAGGGCCACAACTCAGTGGGAGAGTATCTGGTTTGCATGCAGAGAGTCCCAGGTCCAATCTCCAGCATGTCAAGGTAGAGTTGGGTGAGTCTTCTTGTCTGAAATCATGAAGAGCTGCTGTCACTCAGGGCTCAGCCACACTCACCTTTTCCCCTGCACTTTCTAGGCACAGGTCTGTGCTTTAAAGCTCTGTGTCAAAGGGCTTTTTGTACTTGTTTTGCCCTGCTGCTTTGTCCAGGAAAACCGACTCTTTGATGCTGAAGCTACAGTCATGGCTTCCACTGTAATGCAAAGAGCAGAGACAGAGTAACATCCTGATGTAAAACACACTGAAGGTGGAGGAAGCTCTTTGAGGGGGGTAGATAGTAGGCAGGGTAATGCCAATTTTTAAAATGGGGGGAATCCAGGACTCCAAGAGAGTCAGTCAAATACCGATCCCAGAAAAATTGTTGTCAAGATTTTTAAGCCAGGCACCAAGGAGGACAAGCCTTGCTGAAGAAGAATCAGATTTCTACAAAGAGAAGTCATGCCTCATCAGTCTCTTAGAGTCTTGTGAGAATATCTGCAAATGGATAAATATGATCTCATGGATAGTGTATATTTTAGAACTCACAAAAGATGTTTGACAAAGTCCCAAGAATACTTTGCAGTCTGAGCATATGAGCATGGGGCCTTCTTATGGATCAGTGACTGATTGGGGGGAAACACACACAGTGTGTTAAAACTCATGACAGTTTTGACAATGCTAGGAAGTAAACAGTGCCGGGAAGAGTCTGCCATGGATCAGTATAAAGGGCAATGCTATTTAAGATGCATACGTGACCTGGAATCAGAACTGGACTACACCAAGTTATTCAGGAGAGCGAAGCTCCAAACATATGGAGCAGCTTCAAAATAATAAATGAGTTAACTGAACAGCAGGTGAGGTTCAATAAATACAAAATGATGCAAATAGAGATTCCTGTGTCAAACACACTCACTAAATTACCACTGTCTGATCAAGCATATATATGAGTTGGAACCATAAGCCTCCCCTCTATGACATGAGTACAGACACTATTCCAGGCCATTTCAGGGTAAGGAGGCCTATGCAAACATCTCATAAGCAACTTGCCCCTCTGCTTGGAGCTTGTGTTCCTTGACGCAGGGGAAGGGAAGAGGCCAGATGGTGATATGGCAGGAGCACACCAGCCTCCAATTCCCTGAGTGGATCAATTGTGTGTCTGCATCTGTGCTAGGAAACAAGGCCGTTTTGCTGAATAACAGGGATAGAGAACCTCCAGATCTTGTTGGACTACAACTCCCATCATGCCTGACCCTGGCCATTGGTTATGGGCCAAGACTCATGGAAGTCCAACAACATCTGTTGAGCCACAGGTTTTTCACCCCTGCTTTACAGAGTTACGGTACTTCTGCCCACTGACAAGTCACTGGCAGTGAATTGGACTGAACCTTATCCGACTCGTTATAAACCCCTGGGGAGCCAGGCTTTTTGTACTTAAGAAAGAGTTACACCACTTTGCCAAAAAGCTAAGGTAATAGATTGACATGGTTTAAGCAGGTACACATAATGAGGTTCTTCTCTTTCCTCCATCAGAACAACCCCCCTTGTTGTAAACTGCTCAATTGCTTTTTCGATTACTTGAAGATGATTTCAGAAAGCCCACAGCTTCTCTTCCCCCACTTGGCCTCAAAAACAAGCTCATATTTAAATGAACAAATCCATCCTGCAGAGATTAAAACGAACTTTAATATTTCACAGCCTGGTATTTACATCGCATCCGAAGCAGGTATAACATTGTCTGTTACAAAAAAACGTTTAGATAACAAAGTCAGCAGGTCATACAGTCACAGCATGGAGGCCAGGCCAGTGCCAAGTTGGACAGGTCAAGGCAGAGTTTTGAAGGTGCAGCTGTTTGCCCATTCTCTCCGGGAGCTCCTGACATCCATCTTGGTTGAGTTGGAGTCAGGTGTTCACTTTGGGTTATACTTAGCAAGGGTAAGCAATCATTCTCAGCCTCAGCCACCACCCTCCCCCAAGTCAAACCAATAAACCTTCATGATCAAGGTAGACATAATGAGACACAGACATGGAACATGTTTATGGATGCCAATTAGCTGGGAGCGGATCTCAACATTCCAATAGGAAAGATCAGCAATGACTTGTCTTTAAGAAACTCTATCCTTTCTGTTATATGCCTGTTGTTCTAATTTGCTATGAAAAATGCTAAGTAAGCTTTGAATAAGCATTTCCACTTTGGGGTTTAGATGTCCTGTGCATCCAGAAACAATGAAAGAACTTCACCAAAGCTATGTCGTTTCTCTCTGTCTATTGTCTTCTCCTACCCTTTCCTAAAACCTTGTCAAATCCCACTGAATTAAAGTGGATCCTCTCCTCCATTTATATCAGCAGAAGCAGCAATGGCATCATAAGCTGGGAAGTTTAACTTAGTTCTCATAATATTTTCTTGTGAGGAGGTATAAGAGCAATCAATTGGTCCCTGAGAGGGATCTGCACTCATTACAGTTGCCAAGTACAAGTCTTTATTTAATACTAAATGTAACTAAGCTCTCTCAGTTCTCTGAGTAAAATTTAAGACTGTAGCAGACACAACATAGCAAAGAGAAGAACACACCTTCCCCCCTCGCAATTTCTAATATTTGCAATAGAATTCTGACAATAACAGTAATTTGTGTGACTTTGAAGGAACAGAAGAGATGAGAGTATAAGCCTGATTAATTACTGAACAGGAGAGGGAAAGACCAGGAGAGAACATTTTTGGTGACTCATGAAAAAGAAAGAGAAAGCATTATGAATACTTGTTCTCATCTCTTGTGCTTCCAACAAAGTATAATGAACTTCTGCCTGTACTGTAGATTCTTCCATCCGTCCAGGTATAGAATCTGAAGCTGGTAACTGGGTAAATGTTGGAGCAACTGCATGGTCTTTCTTGGAGTTCCTCTAGTTTCACAACACAAGATTATAATTTGGTTCCTTGTTTCCAGAACTCAAAGCCTGCCTTCTATGAAAGCGACAAAAACATGAATTGGGAAGATTTTGTAAAAACACGAATTTTATTTTGAATTGTGAACTTGACACCAACTCGACACCTTGATTCTCTTTAGCGATCGTCAGAGCCAGCCTACAGACACAGGAGAATTCAAAGGAAGGAAAATTGCTTTCCCCCACTTTGTAGTTATCAACAGATTCTATGCAACTCCAATATTTAATTGAGCACTAGGGGAAGAAATACGTTCTTCTCTTTTGCAGGTATATCCATGGTATGGAAGGAGAATGTGGAGCAGTTCTTGTAACTGCATTCAAGACCCATAATTGTAGACTTAGTAGCAGCTGATGGTTAAATACCTTAGAGGCTGCACTGAATCAGTGGTTGATGCAGTATTTTATCTTCAAAAACAAGGGAAATTTCCCAAGATCTCTGCCCAGACAGGTACGTCACCCCTTTCCTGTAATCCTTGGTGCTGTTCTTCCAGGAGGGAGCAAACTGCAGCACCACTTCCTTGGCAGGTGTACACGAGGAAGAACAATAAAGTGCCCATGAAAAATAGGCATCCTATACCACAGTTGCATCCTATCCTGTGCCAATGAGGTCCTTCTGTTTCCAGGTCTTCAGAACATAGAAGGAATATCTTGCACCTGGAGAAAAGCCACGTTGTGCCATTTCTGCAGTGCCAGCCATGTCAACACAGATGCATATCAGATGAGAGCAGATCTTCTCAAATCTACCTTGTCACCTGGGAACAAAGGAAAATGCATTAGACAGATATCTGGTAATCTAAGGAATTATCTCTGATCCAGAACCTCCTGTGCATTCCAGTGCATACACAGAGCTCTTGCATGAATGGGCTTTCCTTGCAGGTGAAGTTGCTCTGCATTGAAAAAGATGCACTGAGAGTTTGCAGGAATAGAGAGGATAAGTCGACCATTCCTATTCAGCATTCAGAAGACATCTAACAAGATTTTGCAGACCTGTTCCTCATAAGATAACCGATTCCCCAAACGTTTTTATTTCATTTTGTGGGGAGAAGAAAACATTCCATAGGAGTGAGCTGACTGAAACATGTAATTTTCAGAAGTCAACAATTCTGGAAGCAAATGGAGGGGCGGGGAGGGAGGAGACAAGCCAAAATGTTTATGTAGGAAAATCATATCAAAGTTATTTAAGCAAGCATATGGTTGCATTCTGACATGAATTTCAGTACACGAAATGTGTACTGGCAGTCTTTATTTTCAATCCCTTTGCCATTTTCATGGCTGCCGCACACAGGTTCAACATTTTCATAGAGATATTCACCAAGAACCACAGCCAGTTCAGACCCTATAAGTATGTATGTGAAGTTAAGATTATTTGCCCCGACAGAGTACTGTGGTGTCAGCATGATTATGTGGTTGGAGAACTGGACTAGAACCAGGAAGGTCCAAGCTCAAACTCTCTCTCAGTCACGAAGATCACTGGGTGACTTTGGACCAGTTACCATCTCTCAGCCTCATTTACCTCACAGGGTTGTTGTGATGAAAAAAGGAGGCGAGAACCATGTAGAGTGCCTGCAGCTTCTTGGAGGAACGGCAGGAAAACAACTGAGTAAAAGGATTTTTTAAAAAGAAAAGCTAACCTTATTTATCATCACATGAGCTTTTATAGGCAAGTTCCCGTTTTGTTAGATGCATTAAGTCCTGCATTGCAGGGGGTTGGGGTCCCTTCCAACTCTACAATTCTATGAAATCAGGGATGGGGAAACAAACATGACCATCCAGACATCTCTAACTGGCCCTCAGGTCTCTCCAAGGCCATATCCCTTGCTTAGGCCAGACCCCTCTGTGGGATGGCCCTCTGCTGTGACATCGTCATGTCCTTTTGACTGGCTGGAATATATCCTTTGACTGTGATCATGCCTCTTGCCTGCCTGGATGGAGAGATGTGGTGTGTGTGGGTGTGGTATGTTTGTGTGTGCTGGGACCTCTGGTTTCTACATTGCTGGAATGTAACCCACTGGATGTAAGAATCACCTCTTGGTCCACCCAACTTTTTATTCTGTTCCTGCCAGCTCTGCCACTGTCTGCTGAGAGGTAGGTTCCAGTCTATGAAAACTTGGGCCACAATAACTTTAACCTTTAAAGCGCCTCAGACTCTCAGTGGCTTATTATCTTTATGAAGGGGAATCAGTCACCAAATCCCAGAGATCAATGTAGGGATCAATAAAAAGCCAGCCCTGGAAAAATATCATTGACATTTGAAAGTGACAAGTTCAGCCCCGTAACAGCATCCTGCAGAATCACACTCAGCATTGGAAAGGCACACAAATCCAACCTGAGGCAATTGTGTCTCTTAAGGCAGGATCCTCCATCCACCAAATGAACATTATCCTACAGTGGGTTTGCAAAAGGGTGCAAAATAGTCTACTCCTGTGCTTGTCTGCTTGGCCTCTGCTCCATACCCTCAAGCCATGCATTTTTTCTTGCATGCATATAGACAAAGAGGGGCAGTGAAAGACAGCCAAATCTTTCAAATCTAAAATGCCTACTGTGCACCTAAGATTGAAGAGCAACAGCTAAGGATATTTGGGAGGAGTGGGGGGAAGATTTATTTGGGGCAGGCCAAAATGGAATCTGTTCAAAAATGCATAACTTAACATGTTAATTCTTTCAAGTACCGCAAGGCTTCCAGTTCCAAGATTACCTTAAGTGACCTTTTTAGCAGCAGAGGTGCTAGGCATTATTATTACTATTATTATTAAGCATTCTTTAGCATTCATCTAGCATAGCTACATTTACATGACGCTGCCTGCAGAGAAAACATAGAGTGTGTAAGTCTTTCAAAAGAATTTAAAGCAAGTGTCTGCATTTTACAAGAGAAATCATTAGGAGAAGCTCTGCGGAGGGGAGGGGGTAAAAGAGAAAGGTGTGCCTGGCATGCAGGCAATAATTTATATTAAGCCCAGAGCCTGCTTTTCTTTGCTTCCATGTGTCCTATGTGCACGGTAAATAGTCTAAACAAATTCTTAAACAGCAGCCTGAAAATTGTGTCTTGGCTTTGAGATGCTGGGTTATTCCAATGGCTGTGGATGATTTCATAGTCTTCAGATGTACCGAGCCCTATTTACCCATTACAATGTCCTTTCTTATGGATTTCACAGTAGGACTAGCAATTTCTGTCAAGGCAGCCATCTGAGCTGTGGATGCATTTGAAATTTTGCTATTTAAATTCTATCCCTGCCCTTGTGTGCATGCCAAACAAGAGACACATTTCAGCAGGAACAATTTAGCAAATCCATTGCAAAAATGGCAAGGAGATCAAACTGAGAGCATCAGAGAGAGAGAGAGAAGCTCAATTTGTACGCAGCAGAGACCCACAGCTAAGGGGGGAAAGATATGCTTATTATTTAACTGCCCATCCAGTAATACCATAGTGGTTAGATCCCAGGCTTCAAAGTGGGCAGAACAAACAGAGGCAGTTCGCTTTAATGCAGAGGCGGAGATGACCATATTGAGAAAAGCAACTCAGTTGCTCTTTGAAGGCATATAGAGATAAGGAAGGGCAAACCCTCATTCATTTCCCAGACAAAAGTCACAGGGTGCTTCCAGACAGTTGCTTACTTTGCAAGCAGGTCACTGAGATACTGCAAACCAGACATTGGCATCAGAGGGTATTTTTTAAAAAAAATCTTCATCAGCTATCCCCCAGAAAGGGTAAATCCAGATTAAATTAGACCTTGTGTGGATGTTGCAAAAAAAAAAAAACCCACAAAAAAAAAAACAACACACCATAATCCCCAGTCTGGTAGTACTCATGTTCTATGGCGGGGATACAGAGCCTGGGGCCCTTTGATGGACTCCAGCTCCCAGCAGCCCCAGGAAACATTGCCAATGGTCAGGAATGATGGGAAGTGGAGTCCAACAACATCTGGAGAACCACAGGTTCCCCATCCCTGCTCTATGGTATCCAAATGCTTAGTGCAGACATATATTGCTTGTGTCTTTAAAGAAGTAATATGGGAAGCAGTTCTCCAGGAACTGTTGAAGGTGGCAGGAGTGTCAACAGGTTCAACTGAGCAGTGCCTTCATGACGACTGGTTTCTTCTTTGTCACTGCAAATCACATTCAGCCCTAAGAGAATACATCACCTGTCCTCTTCTTCAGCCTACTCAGAACTTGCTGTTTTCCTGCCTCCTTTCAGTCTCATCAGACTACATTTTGTTCCTTCTGTCCTGCTATTTCTGTGCAGCAGGCACATAAGCACCAAAGCCCTTCCTCCACACATACACACCCATGGTTGCAAGAGCATGGGTTGCCCCACGCAATAAAGACTAGGGTTGGGTTAGGTTTCTGCAGTATGTCTCTGGAATGTGAAAGATGGATCAAGGCATTAGAGCTGGGGGGGGGCAATGCTACAAGAAGGAAAGTGCATTGTTTCCTGTTGGAGGGGGGAAGCCAGAATGAGAGCCTGGCTGTGGGCCAAATGGGTTACTGCCAAGTGCTCCACATTCTGAGAGCACAAAGGGTACGTGAATGATGTCAAATTGTAACACTGCCAGGAAAAGTGGGGAGCAAGCAAAGGGGAAGCAGATAAAGAAAGGTTGGTGGTGCGAAGTTGCTGTGATTGATTACTCAGCAGCATTTTGATTCCTGAGCCAACGGAGGCTGCTCTGATACTTTCTCCCTCTCTTCTTCTTCTTTTAAAAGCTCTTCAGTGTGAACATGCTATTTGCCGAGTAAAAGATAAGGAAGGAACAACAGGCTGCTATTTTGCAGGATAATTTTATGGGGTGTTTGCGTGGAAAGGAGATGGAAGCACGAAGCAAGCAAAGCCTGAAGAATAATTATGCTCCACTGTATGAACAATGATTACAAAATTATGCAACTGATTAACCATGACATACATGTAATTACTAATGAGTTTGATAAAATTTTAATTATACCTTGTTCTTCAGGGTATTCAGCAAGCCATGAAAATAATAATCATGTAGCTCTCTGTCACAGATGATTGCTCCAACTGGAGGAGCTGTGACAGGCTGGAAAGTCCTTGGCTGGAACGTGATGCAAAGCAGAGGGAAGTGGCTGCAACAAGCCAAGGCTGGCAGGCATCTTACAGGCAAACCACCCTCCACTATTGTATTTCTTGGGATGCTGGGAGGAGTTTCATCTACACACTTAACCGCTCTTGCATAAGATGCTGTTGCTAAACACCCATTAGAAGGGGAGACCCCAAAGCCATTTCCATCTACCGGCTCACGTTTGCTTTGACTCTGCAACTGATGACTCACTCTACTCATCCACTTCTTGTTTTGTCACTCTGCTATTGAATGCTATTCAAGATATATAGGATTAATCTGGAAAGAAACTTGTTTGAATGAAGTCATCTCCAGCGGATAAAAATAAAAGGTTTTGAGCTTCTGGGGAAATGATATTTAACTCAGATGAAGTGAGAAGGTTCCTTTTTAAAGAGCACACTTCCCCCAATTCCCTCCTAAATTTTCTTTTCTACTGCTGTGTAAATTCTGATGAAAGCTGCACTTTCAAATCACTCCTAATAGCAAATAAAACCTGCCAACAGGACCGCACAAAAATGGGGCCACATAGAAAGAAGAGTGGGGTATCAGTGTGTATTCAGGTTTCCCCAAGGTTTGAAGAAGCACAAGTAGTACTGTTGTAAGTTTTTTGGGGGGCAAGGATCCCCTAAATTCCTAGGTGCCAGATCCTCCCCATAATTCCTGGATTTAGTAAAAGTTGGAATTAATCAAGGTTTGATTAAACTGTGCCAAGCACTGCTGGGTTCAGCATACACTAACTAGCCAGTCCAGCCTGGCATAGCTAGCTGAGTGTGGGTCACTGGCGGAACAAAGCTGATGATGGCCAAGCCTTAAACCTTACAAAAGATGGGCCATCAGGAAATTCAGTGCCAGACAGCAAGGGGAAGGGAGCTCCTCCTCCAGCTGTGTGTCAGTTTGACCTGACATAAGCGAGCAGGAAGATCAGTTTGGAGTTTGCAAGCTGCAGAGAAAGTGGAGTCAGAGCACCAAGTGGGCTGACAGGCAGAAAAAGGGACAGAGAGCATGGCTTTTTGCTATTTTGGATCTAAGACTATGAGAGAAGCAAGAGACCCTCTTGGGGGCGTGCCTGGCATCTCTGGAATTGCACACCACTCAGATTGGGATGTGGTATAACAGTACTAAGGGGGGGAAACTTAAAGGGTCAACCCCCCCCCCCGAACAGCAGAAGAAGGACCGATCCTGCTCAGTAAACGCAGAATGCTGAGCATCTGTTGGGGGTGGGGGTAGAAGAGAAAATCAGGGGTGGGGGGAATAGAAAGGAGTATCCTGGAAAATGGCCTGACTGGCTGGAACTTCACACTGCTGGAGCAATCACACTACATTGTGTTGCACATCCCACTTTTGAGTAATAAACAGAAAAATTCCCATTTTGAACAAAAATGGCTTTGTTCAGAATGTGTGTCCGAGCATTAGAAAAAGTAGTTCCAATTACATGTTTTGATCACATTTAAATTTAAAAAATGAAATATAAGGAACTAAACAACCCTGTAACTGAAGCAACAATGGCACTCTCAGAGTAGCTTCAGACTTGATGGACTAGGATCTCGGGTAGGTGTATGAAGAGTCTTGTGGTTCCTATCTCCATGTAATCTAATTTGATTTTTTTGCCGCATGAAACTGTCTTGAGGTCTCTTAAAACGTGCTGCAGTGTAAGCTGTGGATCTCCACTGCCTTCCTGACATACAGCTGCTTCTTCTCTTCTTCCCTTCCCAAACCTCCTGCCATTGCACTGGCCATGGCGATCCTTTTTTAGGTATATAGCAACTACCTAACAAATACACAAAGAAGTCAGATATCCATTGTCACTTATCTGAAATCACTTTGAACTGAGATCTTTATGCTAGGTGGTCAGGAATGGACAAGATGCATTGTGGGGCTCTTGAACCATTATATGCCCTGTACATACTGTTGTTTACTTGGCCTGCCAGATATTATGAAACAGAGTCAACTATTTGAAATAGATTCAAAGCATCACAATTGTCATTCACAAAATCATGCACTATGTGGATCTCATAAAAAGGATCACAACATTGCCCTCGGGGGGGTGAGAGGGGGAGCATTATTGGACTCGGCCTTCTCTCACCCATCTTGGATTAGGAATACCTTGGTGGTCTTTACTTTGTTTCCAGTACTGCAGCTCCATCCGGACAAATCTGGTAGCACTTTACACTCTTCTCCTTCTACACATGGTTGCATTTGGCACCACCACTTCTGAAGCACTATTGAGGCTAGGAGAAAACGAAAGGCATAGGACTTTAAAAGCAAAGCAAAGCAACGACACCAGGCTGGACACTACAGTTATTTACTCCTCAGGAGAAAGTGTATGCAGTCAGTGAAGTGGATCATCTCTTTGTGGCAGCAAAAGGCCCCAATATAATCAGAAACTGAAAGAAACGTTGTCCATAATCTTAAATGTTATCAGGTCAGCTCCAGAGTAGACCAATATGAACACTCAAGTGTTTTAATTCATTCATTCATGTTGTTGTTGCTGTTGTTATGATTATGAATTTCTATACCACTTAATATCCAAAAAAATCCAAGCAGTTTACAATTGAACATAAAGCATCAAACACAACATTGCAAAATATGAAAATAAGACAATACTAACTAAGATCAAATGCAAGATGCACATTTAAGGCAGCATGGTTAGCAGGAAAACAAAATAACCTCTTAAACACGTTTTTTTTAAAAAAATGGCACAGGGGCATCACTGCATCTTCACACATCCCAAGGATGGAGTGCTGGCTGGTACTACAATCGAACCAAGCAGCCCCAAAGCATATTTTAACAGTTGTTTTTCTACCCACTATAGGGGCCATCTGCCATGCCAACCTGCAGTGCAACACTGGAATAATCTGAAGGCACAGGTCATAAGAAAAGCTCATCTCATTATCAACCCAAGTTCTGCCACAAACATGACCAAAGTCAGAAGGATCATCAGGTAAATCATTCAGGGCCAGAGAGGAAGAAATGTAATGAAAGAGCAGCAGTGTTCCGTTCAAAAGGGAGGTGTGGGGATTGAATGAGCTTGGCATGAAGTGCACACCACGACAGAATCAGTGGGAAGAGTTGTCTTGGTGAATTAGGGCTTCCCTGGCTCCTGACAGTTTCAAAGACAAAATACATGTTAATGACAAATGGGCAAGAGCAAGCAACCTTGAGAGGCTAACTGAAACAGAGATGTTGTACCTAATGGTGCCAGGGCCCTAATTTAAAATCAGAGCGAGGTCTGCTTCTCTCAAGTTCTTTCTGACCTTAGACATTGGGCTAAAGTAGGAGACCAAAACTGCAGAGCCTGATTTTGCTTGGCCTGTCATCTTATTCTCAACTCAGGACAACAGAAAGGCTAAGAAAAAAGAAATGGAAAGACTTGGAAGAAGGAAGAGACTGGCCCAGTCATGCACAGGCAGCTGTGAACCTCAGGTTCACATTCTCCACTTTCTTCTCCCAGCATAGTCACTTTAGCTTCCAGTTTTAAACTAGCCAAAACCTTGCATTACATCCCAGCTGGGAGAACACTGTTTAGATTCTGGTTTGTTAACAAACCTGGATCATAAGCCATGGTTTGCTCCTGGCTTGTTTAAACCAACCATAGTTAAGACTAGATTTCTTTCAAATATTTACACCCAGCCAAAACGTTTTGGTGATTTCAGGAGGCCTTTGGGACAAAGGAGAACAACTTTCAGGATTGGTGTACTTAGTAAACTTACAACTACACAAGGTGATCCAAGAGCTTTTCATCCATTTTTTAAAAAAAATATATAAGAGGAAATCAAAGCAGCTAGGATGCCTAGGTGCCACCATACATTCTCACAACAGGACAGGAATATCCATGGAAATGATGCATGGGAAACACATGGACCTGCAGGTGTTCTTGGATCCCTACCTCCCATCAGCTGCAGCCAGCATGATCAATGGTCAGGGATGATGGGAGTTGGAGTCTAACATCTTCAGGGCCTTAAGTTCTCCATCCTTGGGCTAACATTACATATGAAAGACACCACTGGGTCCTGGAACTTGTCCAGAGTGAGTAGCAGGTGCAATTTGGGTAAATACTTCCGCGAATGTTGATACAATTCTAGTTCACAGCCCAAGTACACAAGACTGATTAATTTATTTATTTATTTTATTTAAACTATTTGTCAGCTACCATCCAGCCAAAGCTCGCTGAGCAGCTTACATAACTGTAAATACACAGCAAATAACAATCAAAATGAATTCACAGCAAGCAGTTAAATTATATATATTGCTGAGATATTTTTTGTTTCATAAACTTTATATTCAACTTGGTTGTTAAAAAAAGCTTCAAGGCGGTTTATAAAACAGATAAAACAAAATTATCAAGAAGAAATAGAACAATAATTCAGTTTTTTTTCATGAAGTTAAATAACAATAGACTAAAAACAGATAAAAACTGCAAAATCCTGGGACTCCAAACAGGTTTTCAGCTGGCACTGAAAGAAAACCTGGAATGAATATTAAAATGGCACCAAGGAAACTTTCCTGGTAAGGGATTGTAAAGGTGTGGTGCCTCAGCTGAAAAGACCCAACCCCCTGCCTTGTTTCAGATGGTGGAGAAATTGGGAGCAGGGCTTTTGAGGCCAATCTAAAAATCATGCAGGAGTAGGGCTGTACTTCGGGAGATGAAAAAAACTTCCTAGTTCTGCACATTAATTCTTCAGGATGCATAGAAGAAGAGATATCACTCGTTCAGAGGCTGGGAGTTGCCAATCAAACAGCAGGTTTCCACTACTGGGAAAAGAGAAGGCCCATTTCACTGAGGGGATGAAGTTTTTGTTCTCTGAGCCAATTACTTTTTCCCCAAATCCAGAAATAGCCAGAGTTTGTTGTGCCAAATCCACTGGTAATTCAGAACCTCTCTTCTGTGGTGAGTGAAGGGAACTCTTCTTCCATCTACCCGCACTGCCCTGCAAGAACCGGCTGTTGATGTAAATCAACTGAAAAGAGCCTTGAAGCAAAGTGAAAAGAAGACTCTCCTGACAGAGAACTCTCTGTAATCTGAATAAGTGCTTTTGTCTTGTTGTTTTTTTAAAAAAATGTTTTACAACGGTGCTACTTGCATCGCAAATGATGTGGTAGAACCACTATCCCAGTTTATTTGGAAGGTGATCTAACTAACTGAGGAAAGCGGCCATAACTCTGTGAGACAAAGGGTCTGTTTTCCACAGAGAAGGTCCCAAGTTCAGTATCTGGCGTCTTGAGGCAGAAAGACACATCTTTGAAACACTTCACAGCCGTATCTAGTAAGTGTCAACTATACTGCGCTAGATGGACCACTGGTCTAACTCAATATAAGACAGCTTTTTATGTAATGGGAACATTTCAGGTCAAGTGAATAGTCCTTCTGCTATTCTGAGACAGTATGGAAGTGAGGAATGATGTCATTTAGGTCCCATATGTACAACACATTTAAAGCAGTATCATCCCACTTTAAACAGCCTTGGCTTTCCCTAAAGAATCACTGGAACCAAAGTTTGTGAAGAGTGCTGAGCTGCTGTTGAGATGCCCATTCGTCTCACAGAGCTACAACTTCCAGATTTCTCTGGGAAGAGGTGGTCCTGTAGCTAAGTGGGGCATTCACATTTCTAGGTGGGGCATTTATTGGACCATGGAGGCACATATAGCACCAGTCAACCCTGTGCCCATATTCACTGGTGGAAGTTGTGAGGGCCAGGCCAGGGGAAGGGAGAGGCAATGACCTCCTCTCACACTCATCTATGCAGAGTGTGTTAATTCACATAATGGGCTATGTAAAGGCCAAGTTAACAGAAAATTTAGTAAGAACACCAGGATGACTGCCAAACGAACACCAGAAAATGCAATGCAAGCAAAAGTTTGTGCTATAACTAAGAAACTATAAACAAATATGGAGCATGTTTTTGTTATTGTTTAAAAAAAGTTTTAAAACTGCAATACGAAAAGAATAAAACCAGGTTTAGAATCAAGCAAGAGCATACTGCAGTGCAACATTAGGGAGAACGGTGATTCAGAATAATATGCCTAAATTTCTTGTTGAAGTCCATGTGTCTGAGTCTTTAAATTTGTAGTACTGTGTACTGTATTTACTGCACAATATGCTTCCTTTTGTAAACTTATAAAAATGCTTGATAAACATTTGAGAAAGCTTTTGAATGGTAAGTTCACCTTTTCAGCGATGAGAACCAATTCTCCCCTGCTCATCATAACCACAGAATAAACAAACTTATATCTTACTGCAGGCAAACAAACATGCTTCTTTTTTGCTGGCTGTGAGAACACAACTGAAAGTGAAACTGAAAAGCAGAGCAAAGTCCAAGGGGTGGAGTCTAACTGTGGCCCACAATACAAGATACAGTACTAATAATTGACTCTTCTGTGGTCATGTTACACTAGAGACTGTTTTTTCAAGATAGGGTGATTGTGTGATAGAATGATTGCTATAACGAAAAGTCCACCTTTAGCCAGGGAAAGTCTTGAGTGAGCAGGGGGATTGGGGGGGGGGGCTGGCCATGGGTGAAGTTTGTTGTTAACCCAAGCTAGACTTCCACTTCCTTCCTAGAACCTGTATTGCTGACAGCTTTCACCTAAGCAGTTAAAATGATTCTGATCATTCCCAGAAGTAATAGCTCAACCAGTGGTTTGAAGGATGAGGTGACTGGGAGATATGAACCATATTATATATTGTATTAGAAATCTTTTTCTGCTTTCTTAGCACTTTTAATTGCTGAGGTATGTTGAGCATCCATAAGAACTTTATGTCTGGGCTGCAACTGATGTGGGCACGATAATTTCTGTGAAATTCCAGTGGATAATTTCAGGGAAACTGCTTTGTTCACAAAATAAGAAGCACCTTTGTGAGGCTGCTTGGGGATGCAGCCTTTCATGGGAATTGTATCCTGTGTTTTTTAAGTAGTTTCTTGGCATCATGTACAAATCCATTTGCACCAGCCAAGCTGCCAAGCCGATCAATAATGCACCAGCAGAGGCTTCCAGCCACTTCAGATAGATCCAGAATGACACAGCTCAATAAAATATAGATGGGGGTGGGTGGGTTAGTGCTTTGCACAGGTGATTAGATGGCATGTTCTTATTCATGCTGGTAGCACTTACATTGCAGAAATAGGTTTTTCTAGGTAAAATAAAAATAAAAATAATAGACCTTAGAACCAGTCTTGGTTACTTGGTTGCTGACTAAAAAATAAAATAAAGGAAACAGAGCCTTGTAAAGTGAGCCCCTTTCAGAGTTAAACTAAGGAACATTCATACAAGAGCATTAAATATTGGTTCAGAGTTTGAAACTGAGCAAATCAACCCACAAGTCATTTATCTCTAAGTAGTCTTACTAAAATCTCTGATTTATCTTTCTGAATAAGTATGGAACCTTCGTGTTGAAGGGTGAAATGCAAAATAAATAAATTGACAACAGTGCCACACTTAACCAATTAACCGAGCCGCGATTATGTTAAAAACCTTTGGAGCTACAGAATTCTGAAATAACCCAGTGGTTCCTTCTGTGCCACATCCCCTACCTATCATATATGCTGGAGTTCCATGATCTGTATTCTCCAGCAATGTAGGCCCTGTTTTGCGAGGGAGAAGGGAGGAAGAAGAGCACTTAAAATTTTAATTATATACCAATTTCCTTTATTTTTTTAAAAAGCATTTTGGATATAAGAGTAAGGATCTATGGGACCCATGGGAGGGCTGTCTATAGCCTACTGTACTATTGACAAAAATGATGGGAAAGGTCAGTCTTGTTGACTTCTATCCCGCATGTGACTCCCTTCCCTTTAGCAGCAAAAGTGTTGGTGGTCTCGGTTTTCCAGGAAGAGCAGGAGTCTCAGTTTTCTAGGACGAGCATGTCTGGCCAATGCCAATATCCATCGCAGTCAAAAACAGAGGTGGTCCACTAGTCTAGAATTTCACAAGCACTGAATCCCAAATCAATTACCTAACAATGAATTATCCTGAGAAGTTTAAAGAATGGTTGCAAAGATATGCCTGAAAACACATCGCTCCAAGAAGGTCCCCATGTGCAGCCAGTGGACAGAGCCTTAGATCTGGATGAGGCAAACTGAGTTCAAAACCCAAGTTGTGCCCTCTTGACTGCTGTACCCAGACTGTGAAAATGAAACAACTAAAGAGTTACTTCAACGGGACATTTTTGAGAGTGAATGAATTCCAAATCTTAGCAAACAGTAATGATGGGCTCCATGACTCTGTTCCCCTGAGACAGCATACATAGTTCCCCATGTTCTACCAGTCTGCCTTCAGTCTCTGCTCCTACAATGGTGTTGTGGCTTTTGTTACAAGTTCAGAAACATGAGGGGGGAATGGCAGCTTTAATAGGGAGAAGCAAACTCCAGATGTCAAGAGTAGGGAACCAGTGTGAAAGAAAAAAGCCTTTGGAGATGGTGTAGTGGTCAGTGTCTCAGGCTGGGACCTGGGAGACCAGGGTTCAAATGCTAACTCACCCATGAAGCTCACTAGGTGATCTTAAGCCAGTCACTGTTTCTCAGCCTAGCCTAGCTTACCATACAGGGGTGTGGTGAGGACAAAAGGGGAAGTGGGAGAACCATGCATGCCACATTAAGCTCCTTGAAGGGAACGTGGAATTAATAAGTTGTTGTTGTGCCCCTTTTTGCACCAAAAATGTTCGCTGAAGAACATGCAGCTCAGCCCAAGACCTCAACCATTTTCATATGTTAGGTTGTAATCCTAACAATGTGTACTCAGAAGTAAGTCCCACTGAAGTGGGTCATGATTGCTGTGTTAGCCTTAACTATCTCTCTCTGCCCCCAAGTGGTGTCTGCACCCCACACTGATGTTTTGGTGCTGGCACAAATTCAAAACCGGGGTAAGAAATAGGACCGCCACTTAGGCAGTATTGCTGACTACTGTACAAAGTGATTTGAAGCTGTGCAAACCTGGACTGACATGGCTTGCTTGGTGACGATGGCTGAATTACTAACTTCTTGATCCTGAAGATATTTACGTTTATTTGAATGTAACTTTATTCAAAGTGAATCAAGCTGTCAGGGCTGGTTTCTCAAATGCACATCCATCAGCTGTCAAATGATAATAATAAATTCTACCCATTTGAAAAGTGTGTTGTGCTTTCATAAAGAACCCGGTAAGAGCAGAAGATTATTTCTGATTGCAGCTAAATATACAGCTGATTTTGCTTAAACTACGAAGCCAGAAGTATCCAATGTAAATCTCCCAGCAGGCGCACCTAACTAGAATTAAGGCTCCAGAGCTAGGGGTGGAACTCTTAATCCATTCAACAGCAATTTCCAAACGCAAATGCACACTTTACAGAGAGACCTGCTCACTTACCGTCTACACATGAAGGAGCAGCGTGTGTCGTCCCAGCCACCTGACCTGGAAAGCAGGAACATTTCACTGTTTGTGAGCGCTCTTCAATCTTGTTCTTATTGCAGCACCTGTGAGCAGCGATGACTTCGCATGTGCCAGGCTCTATGTGCACTGCAAGGAAGAAAGGCACAGCAAATTACACACGAATGTGGTAGTCAAAGGGGATTGTGTGTTTGTGTTACAGCAGCAGCAAATGGGCCTTACGATGCTGAACATATGGTGATACATTCTAGAGGAATGATCAGGCCTCAGAGTACAAAATGCCAAGCTGGACCCGTCCTGTCTGTTCAAAGATGTTACTGTATACAAGATCCAAGGAAAAGGTTGTCATTTCTCAGCAACAAGTTAGAAGCAGTACAGAAATCTAACCGTTCACAGATTGCCACTGGACAGCTGGAGCTCTGTTGACTCTGAAAGAACAGCTGGCACTTGCAATAATAATAATAAGAAAATCCAGGCAAGGTAAAATGTACTCAAGGGAGATAACTTGTTAGGATGTGTATAAAATTTTTTAATTCTAAAGGTGGAACCCATGCCCATTAAAAGACCTCTCTGCGAAAGGTTTTGATTGGAAAGAGCTCATTTGTATGATGCCCTTGACATAATTTCTAGATTGCATCTAGCTGCATGGATCTAATGTGTTACAAACCACAAAAATGTACACACCCATTCCAGACGGGTCACATCTTGTAGATTAGAAGTGGGGAACCACGTATATTTGAAACACCACTGAAAAGCATGCAAATACCCTCTTCCACCCCTGCGCTGCCCTTCTTTGTGGCCCTTTGGTGACATTTTGGGGCCACTTCTATGTTCGGCAAGATGTGTGTGTATAGTTGCACACATATCAGATGTGTCTAAAATGGTTGCTGCCTGCAGTGACTAGACACAGTGGCTATGTTATGCCTCTACTGTCAAGCAACATGTTTCTGAATGCCAGAGAATCACAACTGTGGAAGAGTGCTGTTACACTCGGATCCTGTTTTGGGCATCCGGATGACCACTGTGAGAACAGGATGCTTGTGTAGGTGGGCCGTTGGCCTCATCCAGCAGGCTCTTCTTATGTTCTAATGACTTCTAGATGTTGGAAACCAACTAGTTAGGGAAGCCTGGCTGGATGAGAGGAACTAGTGCACACCATTCACTCACCAACAAAACTATCCCATTCTTGTCATACATTCCTGTTCCTTTCATTCCAAAATCCATTTTAAGACAACAGTTTATTAGACCAACCTACGTATCAGAAAACTGTGTTCACACTTTCAGGTTCTCCAAAACCTTTCAACAGGCTCAGTCAGGGAAAGCCAACACAGTGCCTTTCATATGCTGTCGGACTACAGTTCGCATCTTCCCTGGCTATTGTGTCATGCTGGCTAGGCCTGCTGGGAGTTGTAATCCAACAACCGCTGGAAAGTCAACACATTGAACGCTCCTAGGTTAGATGGTAAAATAGGCAAGCAATGGAAAGGAAAAACCTGGCAGGTAGTGAAGCCATGGATACAGAGTGGACTATGGCAGCAAACATTCAAGGAAAGCTTTGTGAGATGCTGATCAGGTTGTACCTAAGTTGCTGGGCAGAAGCAGCTGGCAGGGCAGGGTGGCACTGCAGAAACAGCCTTCCAGTAGCAACATCATTGCCTCTTACCAGGAACAATGGCAAGATGGGAATGCCAGATTGGCTCTGCTAGTGCACCCACCAGTGGGATGTGGAAGAATTTAGAAGACATTCAAATGAGTCTCCCATAGGTTCCATGTATGTTGCACTTAGGCCTGCTGGGTAGTAGCTACTGGCAGAGCAAGGTGGTGCTGAGGGTTGTGGCATCACTTAGCAGGAAGGGTAGGGGCAGGACAACAGCCAGGCTGGGCAATGCAGATGCACTAGTGTGTCCATGCCACCCTGAACTCAGTGCCACCCTGTCCTTCTGCCCCTCCATCCTGGTAAGTGGCATTGATCCCTCTGCTAGGAGGCTGTTGCATGGTGCTGCTCTGCCCTTCCAGCCACTTCTGTTCATGGCAAGAAGGAAATCCAATGGCTGAAACCTTATCTTCAGGAATAGAAAATCCAGCTGTTACCCAGGCATGTCTCCAACCTTAGGCAAAAGACACAGGCCCTTTGGTAGGTAGGAAACAAGACGAAAGAGACGTCAGGCCATTTCTGTGTTAAGAGAGCTGGAGGTAAAATTTAGGCAGTGTGCAAGGTTTTTTAAAAAAGATTAATGGAAGCTAAATTAAGTAGTTTGGCCTAGCAGCTTCAGGAAATGTTCCATTGTTTAAAAATCCTTTTTTGAGATGGATGACTAAAACAGGATCCTGTATTACATCTAGCAGTGTATTTATTTTCCTTATAATGCATCACATCAGTGGTTCATAGATGTCATGCATGTTGACCCGAGACCCTCGGCTCAGGTCAATACGTTATTTCTGGCAGGTACCAAGAGTGCTCTGAAGCTCATGATTTTGCACTTTGCCCTACTAAATTTTTGCTGTGCAGTTCATGAATCATCCAATACATTATGTATACTTTCCCAATTCTCAGCTGAATTGACTGTTCTTTCCATCTAATTGCCATTTCATTGACACATTCTTCCTTTTCTCACTAAAGTTGTCAACAAACATACCAAACAAAACAGTCTAGAGACTGACTTTGGAAACTCAACTGGGAACCCTTTCTTCAGCTCAAAGATTTGCCTTTTATTACCATCAGAGAGTCTTTCATTTGAGCAGTTACTTTTCTGTCTCACAATACAGATATCATTCAAGGGCTATCTGCTCCCATTTAAGTAGTAATTTCTCTCACAATATGGTATCCAACATTTTGTAAAGGTGCAAATACGTTGGATTTAACTGTATTTCACTTGCCTCAGAAAGAGAGATTGCTTAGATGTAACTGCCTTTGAGTAGTCATTTGCATAAAAGGAGCAGCTATCTTTTTGGAATTTGTGGTCATATCTGGAAATTCAAAAAATTGATGCAGGCACCACCACAAAATGGCTGCTGTTGGGGCCTGGCTAGTCACAAATGACAAGTAACTTGCCCAAGAGACAAAGTGCAAGGCAGAGCTTAGGGCATGAGCCTTTGCACATAAAACCACTCATTTGATCCCACAGTGGTGGGATCTTTAAAAAACAGATACATTGGGCTCATCCATACTGCTGTTTAACATGAACAGTAAGCTTTCTGTACCTCCACTCATTCTCTGTTGTCCATATGATGTTCTCCTCCAAATTACTGCCTTCCCAACTCTTCCCCCTCCCTCAGTCTGGACTTTCTTATACTTGGGATACTCTGAAAGTGAGAGAGTATGAGAAAATCTAGATTGAGGGAAGGGGAAGTGTGGGTTGGCTGTGTTTTGGAAGACAACATCATATGGACAACAGAAAATTAACAGAAGTACAGGAAGATTACTATCCACATTAAACAACAGGATCAGTGAGCTCAATATTACATCCCCTTTGACATTTTCTTCCAATGTTCAAACATTATGTAAATGAACTAAGCAAACAAAGAATGAGTGATTCAAATCAGTTCCTTAAATGTCCAAAGACTATTGTTCATATGAGAAAGAAGGGGGGGATTAGTTAAGGGAGAGGGTGAACAGAGGAGCCCATGGCTCACCTCCAATCCTCCAACTATTATTTGAGAATTAGAGATGGAGAAATATGTCAATTTCCCAGTTTCCCAATCTTAAATTAAGTTCTCCAAATTTCCACAGCAATTTGGATTCTTTTTTTAAAAAAAAAAATCACCCTCTTGAAAATTCACCCGCATTTTAGCATTCCTTTCTTCTAATGAACACTTTTTTGTATGCAGTTTTAACTATTATACGTATTTTTGCACTGAATAATGCACGCACACACACACAATTTAATCCACATTTCCCCCTAAAAGTGCAAACAAAATCAAAACTGTTTCTCATGCCTAAATTGTCTAAATTGATGACACGTCTTTTCAGTCAGCTTCATGGTGCAATGATCAGTTGCAATTCCCTCCATAGTTTCACCACTCTTTGCAACACCACACCACAAAACCCTCAAATGACAAGACATACCATTTTGGAAAACCATGCCTTTTAGTGACTTCCATACAATTTCATATAATTCCCTGGAGCACCCATTCAGTTAGAGCCTTTCCCAACATTCATAATTAAACAAATCCAAGGGGTCATTGCTTATTCAAATTACACACTACAACTCATTAACCACAGAGAAAGGAGTATGGGGTTGGTTACTCTGTAACATGGTGCTTTGCTGTCTATACTTCCACTAAAGCCCATTTTCTTTTGCATACTCAAGCTTTCATTAAAACTGAATTATGACGGTATTTAAAAGAGTGAGTCAAATTTATGGTCAGGAATGTTATTACTAAATACTTCCAGGATAGGTAATTGTGTAATTATGATGGGCAGAAATGAAAGTGATGGTTCATTAGTAGAAAACGTCCATGAAATAATAATAAATAAAGCTAAATGGAAATGGTAGTAATGCAGAGCCTTCATTGGCTCTCAGCCAAGGGCTTCCCTGGGCTTGCAGATTTCAAACGCTGGCTGACACTTGTAATGGGATATTCTTTAACCCTTGCAAGCTAATGGGGCTGACATGGAGCCCAACAGCTTCCTGAAATACTTGTAGGACTCCTTAAACAAACCAGAGACGCTTTATGTTAGGGATGGAAAACCTGTGGCCCTCCAGATGTTGCTGGACTCCAAGCCCCAGTCACCATGGCCAGTGTTGAGGGATGAAAGAAGGTAATGAGGTCAATGCGGTGCACTGTGCCAACCTCTCTGCTGCCTAGCCCCTTTCCCTTCTAGGAAGCTGCATCAATGCTGGTGATGGGAAGTTAGGTGTTGTAGACCACAACCAAGCCTATCAATCTAACAATTTAAAAATACATAGGAAGCTGCATTACACTGAGTCAAACAACTGGTCTATCTAGCTCAGTATTGTCAACACTGGTGGGCAGTGGCCTCCAGAGTCTGAGACAGGGGCCATTTCCAGCGCTACCTAGAGTTGTCAGAGATTAAACCTGGGGCCTTCTGTTTGCAAGTTCTGCTTGCAGAGAAGGCCCCTGTTTTTCCTCAAAATCAATGAGTTCTGGGCCTTCCCCAAATCAGTTTGTTTACTATACCAGTTGGATGCTTCCTTGTAAGGAACTCTGTGTATGCTGCTGCTTATCAGCCTTATATAATCTAATAAGCAGCATGTTGGGGTGCAAGGTGCAATACTGCAGGAGGGACTTTCAGTAAACTCTCAAACTTCTGAAGTGTTACACCCCCTCCTCAAGAACACAGTCCTAAGCGTTTAAAAGAAGGAGATTGCAAATGCCATCAGAGCAATCTTGTCCGAAGTTGTTAATGAAGGAGATTCTGTGCCATTGTGCAATAGGTACAAAGGAAATACCTTTTATAGACTTGGTAGCCCTATTCTGTATTATAGCTAAAGCCAGACAATTGTTCAGCCTCTCATCAGCGGTGATTACGTGCACCTTCCAACCTCTTTTCTTCCTGCACTCTCTGCTGCCCACTGGCTGATCAGTGAAGAAGATAAATGCATCCAATTTCCCCACCTCATTCCCCTGAAGACTTTGGGGGAAAGCTCTTCAGAGGCTCCTTTGGAATATTTGGGGCCATTGTTCAGATGACGGACAAGTTTGGCTGAAAAGTTCTGTTCATTCTCTCAAACTACCTCTATTTTCTGAGTCACTTTGTACTTTTTGGAAATGTCCTTCCTGCTAGTTAATTTTAACTTTTACATGTTTGATTCTCCTTTTCCACAGCATTCTTCAGGAAGTACATCAATGGGTCATATTACTGGTACAACCTGATGCATCCTCAATAGGTAAAGGTAAAAGTACCCCTGCCCGTACGGGCCAGTCGTGACCGACTCTAGGGTTGCGCGCTCATCTCACTCAAGAGGCCGGGAGCTGGCGCCATCTGAAGACACTTCCGGGTCATGTGGCCAGTGTGACAAAGCTGCAACTGGCTAGCCAGCACCAGTGCCACACATGGAAACGCCGTTTACCTTCCCGCTATAAAGCGGTACCTATTTATCTACTTGCACTTAGGGGTGCTTTCGAACTGCTAGGTGGGCAGGAGCTGGGACCGAACAACAGGAGCTCACCCTGCCACGGTGATTCGAACCGCCGACCTTACGATCAGCAAGTCCTAGGCACTGAGGTTTTACCCACAGCGCCACCCGCGTCCCTGCATCCTCAATAGTTTGAGGTTAAAAGAAGTAAGCCCATTTGCCTAGTCCAACATTTATCTAACCCTTGTGTCTAATGTGCCTTCCCCAAGTTCATGAGTTTTAGCTAGAGGGCTGTCAGCCAATCTGCTTTTGAGACAATGCATTCTGCTGCTTTCATTAATTAATTGACTAGAATATAATTTACAAGCTATTTTTAGCACTCCCATCACTGTGCATGGCACTTTACAAAGTAGCATAAGCAACAGGCAAGTCCTTGCCTAGAAGAGCTTGCAATCTCAATTTAGTAAATTGAGGGAAGATGAAGGCAACTGAAGGAGATGAAGGAAGATCCTAAGGATAACAAGAGATTGATAAAGATATTTCAAAGTGAGCCTTTATAGCACCATTGGATATTGAGAGCTTGGACCCAAGAATCCTAGGCCTTAAGCAAATACCTACTTCACAGGTAAGGATTGCAAAGCCAGAAAATAAGTGCTCAGGGAATGACTGTCTATTCTGCATGCTTCACTCACTGGCTGGGATGCTTTTCTTCCTCCTGCTACTCAAACACACAGATGGCTGCATATTCCCAGTTAGGTAGCTATCATGGCTCTATGACAGCTACTAAGATCTGCATGCACACTCTTAAAGCAAAGTCTACCTGACACCCTTTAAACATGGTGAAGAGTTCCAACCCTGGATAGAGCTTCTCTGTCTATCTTAGAAGCTATTTTGCTTTTACTGGGTTCAAAATTCCCTTTCCTGTCCTTGTTATTTTTCAACTACAGTCTCTCTTCTCCATCATACAGTTAACTGTTATTCAGAAATAATAAAAAAATGCAATCCATGCAAATAGCTAATCAGACAGAGCCTTGACTCATGGGGTTCTTCCTCTCCAATTACAGTTTTATGCTAGCATAAAAAACTTAAACCCATGCAAGATGGTGAATCCAGTTTGTCATAATCTCTCCTGTCTTCTACTGCTGTGTATGTCATATTCCACATTGTTCTGGAAGGCTCCCCACATCCTAAGTAACAGCTGTGGGGAGGGGGAGCAAAAATGGGGTGTTCCACCTTACATGAGTGTAAAAAAATAAAAATAATAGAGAAAAAACAAACCCTGGATACAACCCATTATGACTCAGTCTTGCTGCCAAGCTATTGGCTCTGTCCAGATCTTATCAGCAATGATTTTGAGGGGCAGATAAATCCAGGTTTGTAATTAACTAACAATTTATTTTAAGAATTTGCTCATTCTTCAAGCAAAATTGTCATTTTTAAAACTTTTCATAATACCCACTTAAAAGGCATTTCATGAGCAATTAAGCTGTACTTTTGACAAGCATTTAAAAATGAACGTTAAGAATGCTTTGAAATTAACAAGATCAAGTGAATGCTCTAAAGTGCAGTGCAATCTTTTATTAAAGATTAGAGACAAAAAAAAGAGTTGTGCATTTGTTCTGTTTTGCCCTACAAGAAGGTTTAACTACTCATGCCATTTCAAGAAACCTAGCAAGCTGCTTTTAAAGTGGTCAATTATTTAAGCATTTAATGAAAGGAGCGGCTTTTAGGAATACTTAGCATGTTAGAAATTAGGAGCATAGGGCTGTATTCAATTAATTTGCAACGCCCACGAGCACAACAGGATACCCTCTCCTTCCCACCCCAAATCTGCTTTGGAGGGTGGAGCATGTAAAGAAAGGGGCAGGCTAGAAGAGACTGCTTACACCCTTTATTGCACAACTGACTGGCAAGGTAGAGCAGCTGAGTCTCCACTATCTGATAATCCCTTCCACTAAATCCCTGTGAACCCCTACAAACCTTCTCTGGGAAACAGAGGCACTTTGGCTCTAGTGGATCCAATCTGCCTCTTCTCCATTGCTGGAACACCCTGTTTCTGGGCCTTCATAGGCTACCATTGGTGGATAATCTGGCTGTGGTAGATCGATGGCCACAGAGGTTTCTGCAAGCATAGTGGGTGCTACTGAATGGATGTGTGACCCCCACTGAAGCAGAGCAGCTCTCTGCTATTGGGCTCCTCCACCCCACTCTTACCACCTCCAGCTGGTAGAGATGATGGTTAGGATTACTCTACAGTACCCCAGGTGCTTTTTTGTGTGTTTTCTGATGCTGTCCATCATTTCTAAATACCTGCTTCAACTAAGATCATAAGAGATCTACTAGGGTGGCACTCAACTACCGTATCTTTCGCCCTATAGGACGCACTTTTTCCTCTCCAAAAATGAAGGGGAAATGTGTGTGCGTCCTATGGGGCAAATACAGGCTTTCGCTGAAGCCTGGAGAGCGAGAGGCTCTTGCTCTCCAGGCTTCAGGAAACTCTGCGCAACCCTCCGGAGCCCGGTGCCGCGACGCACCGCCCTCTGGAGGGTCGCGCAGAGCTGCCTGCCCTCCCGGGGTCTGCGCAGCTCTGCACGACCCTCCGGAGCCCGGCACCAAGCTGAAGAGCGCGCCCGGGCTTTGCACAGCTGTCCGCAAGCCTGGGGAGACCGGTGTGGCTCCCTAGGCTTGCAGATAGCAGGCTGTTCTGGGGGCTGGGGTCGGCTTCCCCCGCGCCAGCCCCGTGCCTGGGGGGGGAAATAAATTTTTTTTCTTTATTTCCCCCCCAAAAAAACTAGGTGCGTCCTATAGGGCGGTGCGTCCTATGGGGCGAAAAATACGGTAAGTTTGACCCATTGAAATTAATCTAACAGTCTTTGTCAGGAGCGAGTCAGCAATAAATCACATGAAGTAAGTTTATTAGAATAAACTGGATCTGCTCAGGAGTGCCAGATCTAATGAGAAACTCTTCTTCAATAGGTCTTGCTCCTCTGAGCCAGTTCTAGAGACTGAAGGTCCTTGCCTTCTCACAGCTACCTAAGTCTCCACCTCTCCCAGGTCTTTCCCAATCAACCTAAGACTCCACCAGCATGTCTGACTTTGCTCCTCTTGTTTCATACCTCTTTTGGTCCTGGGAGACTAGGGGGAGATGGGAGCTTGCCACAGTAGGATGGGGAGACACCTTGGTTTCTTCAGCAGCCTGACTCATCTCTGCCTCTTGGCCTCCCTCCTCTCTTCCTTCAGCTTCAGATTCTAGACTTCCCTCTGCCTCCCTCTGTCCCTGCTCATTAAACCCTGCTACCTCTTCAGCTTCTGACTCCTCCCCCTCCTTGGCTTCTTCCTCTCCTCCCTCTGACCACTCATCATTGTCCTACCACCATTCTTCTTTCCTTAGAGGTTCCCCAGCTGATGCCTTCTAACATTCCTCTGTGTCCAGCCAGTCCATGACAGTCATGCTTATGAATTTCAGTGGGTGGTATCCAACTTATTAAAATGTATGAGTGGGAATGACTCCCACTCACATAGCAGGACTTCCCCCCTCCTCTCCCTGAGTGTACCATCCCAAAATCTGCTCCAGGTTATTGGGAGAAAACTCAAAATTGATTGAGGGGGCCTGCAGGGTAGGATAGTGGGGGGAAATCCCATTGCTCAGCGGAAGTCATTCTCGCAAAGTGCAACCCTACTCTGAGTAAAACCTTGTTTAATGCCATCCTGTTTAGGTGAACATGACCACTAAGAGGTGGATGCCATTCCTGGTCATGTGAGAGAGCACAAAAGATTCATAAAACATCCCCCGCTTTTGCGATTGCAGCACTGTGCAGTCACTCTTTAATGCAGATTACATTAGCTTGTCTAGGAAAAGGCGTTTTGATTATGTGGAAACTCTTCCAGTCAGCCTACATGCCTCTATAATCTGCAGTTTGACAGCTGCTCAATTTAAATAAGCATCTGGGATTAGACTATTTGATGCCATTCCTCTTCCAGCGTGCTAATTATTTACTAATACAGCAGCAAGGAGCATTTGATGTTGGAGGTGGTGCCTTAGTAGCTTCTGCTGTTACCATGAATTTAAGTCACCAAGGATGTAGGTATTCAGGACTCCCCCACATCAGAATGTGGAATCACAGATCTGATTGCACCTTCATATTAAAAGTTCCATATATATATATGCTATTTATTTTAAACATCTCGAACCTATGTTTAGAGTTAACACTGTAGTCTGAGAGGAAGCTTACAGCATTCATTTAAAACAAAAACATCATTAAAAATCAAGATTAAAACCTAGCAAAACACAGCCATAAGACTCACATAAAATATAATAACTTCAACCCAGCTGCAGGAACAACAGCGCAATTCAGTTAATAAAAGCCTGATTTTGTGGTTTACGTTATGATTATTATTAATTTTTTTCTACTGATGTTTTTGCTTCTGTTTTATTACAGTAGGTATGTATTACAGTAGGTTATTGTAATGTATTGTCCTTTTATAGTTTATGTCATGCTTATACTCTCTTAAAATGTTGCAAGTCAGTTAGAAATTCCTTATGTTAGTACTTGGCTGATACATTGAATAAATAACAACAGATGCCACAAAATGCAGAGATTAAAATAATAGTTTTCACCTGGTATATAAATGGCAAGAATGGAAACAGATGATAAGGAGAAGGTGTTCCACAATGGGAAATTTGACTTTCCTCTTTAAAAAATGGTTCCAGGGAACTATTCTAGAAAATTTGCATTTTCACAAATATCACTAAAGCATTGTTTTGCCCAGAACATGTCACTTCTAAATGTAGTGTACAGTATAAACAAGGCAGTAGGAAGCTATTTTAAAATCATATATACCAACTCCTCAATGTACGTTTTCCATTTTCAACAGGAGGAAAATGAAAAATCCAATTTAAAGCACCGCATGTGCAAATAGCCTAATTCATTAACTAACAATTCAAAATGCAGTTTTGAAATGTGACCCTAACTGAAAGCACGCCTCATGAATGGAGGGGTGTTCACTGAAGATCACAATGTTGTAACCACCTTGATGCATTCTGTTAATTCTGGTGCTGTTTCAGACCTTTCTGTGAAACGGCATCTTACATTTTAGTCACAGCTTGATAATCCACCAGGTGACTTTTTTCAGTGACAATAGGATAATTGCAGGATGGGGTGGGGCAGGGGGAGGCAGAGTAGAGAATAGCCTTGTTCTGGCGGAGAGAGCTGTTTAATGTGTCTTATAGCTCAGTTGGCTAGCACATGGTTTTGATAATGCCAAGGTTGCAGGTTCAGCTGCATATTCCTGCATTGCAGGGGGCTGAACTAGATGATTCTCCAACTCTAGGATTCTATCATCAATGGTTCCTCTTCATCCTGGAGAAGAGTGACTAGTCGGATGCCACAGGGTTCTGTCTTGGGCCCGGTCTTATTCAACATCTTTATCAACGACTTGGAAGATGGACTCAAGGGCATCCTGATCAAATTTGCAGATGACACCAAACTGGGAGGGGTGGCTAACACCCCAGAGGACAGGATCACACTTCAAAACGACCTTGACAGATTAGAGAACTGGGCCAAAACAAACAAGATGAATTTTAACAGGGAGAAATGTAAAGTATTACACTTGGGCAAAAAAAATGAGAGGCACAAATACAAGATGGGTGACACCTGGCTTGAGAGCAGTACATGTGAAAAGGATCTAGGAGTCTTGGTTCACCACAACCTTGACATGAGCCAACCGTGTGCCGCGGCAGCTAACAAAGCCAATGCAATTCTGGGCTGCATCAATAGGAGTATAGCATCTAGATCAAGGGAAGTAATAGTGCCACTGTATTCTGCTCTGGTCAGACCTCACCTGGAGTACTGTGTCCAGTTCTGGGCACCACAGTTTAAGAAGGACACTGACAAACTGGAACGTGTCCAGAGGAGGGCAACCAAAATGGTCAAAGGCCTGGAAACGATGCCTTATGAGGAACGGCTAAGGGAGCTGGGCATGTTTAGCCTGGAGAAGAGGAGGTTAAGGGGTGATATGATAGCCATGTTCAAATATATAAAAGGATGTCACATAGAGGAGGGAGAAAGGTTGTTTTCTGCTGCTCCAGAGAAGCGGACACGGAGCAAACTACAAGAAAGAAGATTCCACCTAAACATTAGGAAGAACTTCCTGACCGTAAGAGCTGTTTGACAGTGGAATTTGCTGCCAAGGAGTGTGGTGGAGTCTTTAAGGTCTTTGGAGGTCTTTAAGCAGAGGCTTGACAACCATATGTCAGGAGTGCTCTGATGGTGTTTCCTGCTTGGCAGGGGGTTGGACTCGATGGCCCTTGTGGTCTCTTCCAACTCTATGATTCTATGATTCTATGAAATGAGGCGAGATTGAATGTATTGCCCTCGGCTATACTTGAGGGATGATTCCAACAGATTCCACACACAAAATGCTTATATCCCTGTGGAGATGGCAGTACTGAATCGGTGGCACATGCCCTTTTGGCTTGCACTCTTTATAAAAACTTGAGGAATGAGATTATCACCCCTCTTTGATTGTCCATTCTGGGTTGCCCAAGAGTCCTTTCTCTTGGCAGATCAAGATGAGCAGGTGACAGCAAAGGCTGCAAGGTTTTTAGCTGGGGCAGAATAAGATCCACTAATTGACTATTGATTCAAAACCTTAAAACATGTTTTACATAATTGACTTTTTATTTCTATTCTTTGTATATTGTATTGTTGTTTATTGCTATGACCGATGGCTGACGCAAATGAAAATTCATTCATTCATTCTTCATTGATTCATTCATTCAGATAGTCAAAAATGTTGTTGTTTTTATATAAAAAACACCCTAAGACAAAAAATCTCCCAATAATATTTGTTTGTTTGTCTGCTTGCTTGCTTATTTGAAATAATTTTATCCCACTCTTCCATCAAGAAGGGTTCTAGATTGGCTGACAGCAATCAAGAACAAGAGACAAAGAGGAAGAGGATTAAAAGACAGTTAGCATGAATGGGAAGAAGAGGACAATTGCAAAGGCTGAAGATGGTGGTGGGAACTTGGGTATTTCTCAAGTATTTTGAAACATTTCCCTATGAAAGTCTGAACATAATTGATGCTTAATATTATCTGTTTCTGGGAAGGGCCCTAAAACATCAGCAGTAAAGCATCTTCTTTATACACAAAGGGTCCTAGTTTTGAACCACACACACACACACACACACACACACACACACACACACCCCCGCTTCTCCAGGTAAGGCTGGGAATTGTCTCCAACCTGAAACCCTGGAGATCTGCTGGCAGTCAGAGTAGACAATACTGCGCTAGATGGAACACTGGTATAAGGCAGCTCTCTCTGTTTCATTCTGTAGTGGATTTGAGCCCCATGTTGGGCAAACATTTCCTGCATTACAGAGGGTTGGACGTGATGACACTCGTGGTCCTTTCCAACTCTACAATTCTATGATTCTATAATTATATAGTACAGTGGTACCTCGGGTTACATACGCTTCAGGTTACAGACTCCACTAACCCAGAAATAGGATCTCGGGTTAAGAACTTTGCTTCAGGATGAGAACAGAAATTGTGCTCCGGCAGCACGGCGGCAGCAGGAGGCCCCATTAGCTAAAGTGGGGCTTCAGGTTAAGAACAGTTTCAGGTTAAGAACAGACCTCCGGAATGAATTAAGTACTTAACCCGAGGTACCACTGTAAATATCTCCACACTAGTTTATTCCAAGCTGCCCCTAAATTCATGGACCTTTGTGCATTTTCCTCTGTATTCATGTGTGTTGCTTCTTCTTCCGCACTTGAAGGATGTATTATGTTTAATAATGCTAAGTATGTGTGCAGTTGCTCCCATATGCAAACCAAATCATTTTTATTCAATGTGATAAGAGGGAAGAGAATACAGTGGTGTCTTTGCAGGTTCAGTAAGTGGGGTGTATGCAAGATTAAAACTTAACCTCTCTCCTCTTCCCTCAAATGAAAATGAACTGAATGGATAGGCAAAGTGGTGAATGGGTGTTGTGTCCATATTCAGGGTTTTCTTCCCTAAGTATAAAAGAAAGAAAAAATCCTGTGACAAGGAAGGTGGTGGTTGTGAGGTCATGTGCTGATTGACTGATAATTTAATTTAAAAACAAAGGAAATAGGCTTCAAGACAAGTGGCAAAGATGGTCAATGCACTTGTTCAAACCTAAGCAAGACTTAGGAAGCTTAGTGCTTCTTTAACGAACTGCTTACTTTCATGCTGATCAGGAATCAATTATGAGAAAGTGCTGACTTCATTGGCTCCTTCCTCTATATTTCATTGGCAAGATTGCCCAGAAATTAGCTGATACCAGATATACAGAGTGCTATTCAACATTAGTCATGCTCAGAGTAGATCCACTGAAATCAATAGGTCTACTCAGAGCATGACTTGGCTATACATCATCCACAAGATTCTACATGTGAATTTATAACCATTTCCGGCCATGATTTGGAGTGGATTTCTGATTTTGGTGTAAAGGACAACTAATGACCATCGTTTGCTAATATGCACATAATGACAATCTATGGTTAGCACTAAACAAGAACCAAATTGAAAGAGAAGATGTGCACAAATGCATATCATGAGCTGGAGGATCATCTTACTAGAGCGAGGCAAAGCAATCATATAAATAATATTTAATCTTGTGCGCTGAAGGCCAAAAGATCCTACACACTGTTTTTTCAGTATTCATTTAATTTTATAAATGTTTCTAACCTGCCCTATATCAATCAATATCCAGGAAGGGTGCACTTCTTAAAAGCAGTAATTCAACATATGAAAGCTCAATAAAACCACCAATAATCAGCAATAAACTATAAGACAGCGAGCAGATCACAAAAACTGAGTGGCAATCAATGACTCTCAGCTGGCCCAATGCCCTGATCAGGCCTTAACCTGACACCAAAATGAAGCCACACTGGGCAAGAGACAGGCCTCCAAGGGAAGAGAAGGGTTCTTACCTGTGTGTAAACTAGTATAAGTTACACCATCTCTTTTAGAAAACTCACAATCTGAGTACACAAACTAGCAGAACAATTTGGCTTAGTCCCAATAAATCTTCCACCTTTTTTGGGGGGGCGGATCTAACTCTGGTTCCCATCAATTGCCTCTGTGGAATCTCTTCACAACATATATGTATTTGTTTTCATTTCCCCCTGTCTTGCCTTGATTGTATACTCCCTTTTAAAAAGGAACAGTAAATTCAAGATTAAAATGAAAGAAACCGAGCCTCCCATCTGCCAACTATAGTTTTTTCAAAGTACAGTACAATCTATACGAGTCTTAAGAATATCTTTCCTTTGTAACTTCAGCCCTCTAGAACAAACACATGGGGGTGTAGAGACAAGTAGAAAGCCAGGTTTTTAGAAGGCACAGGTTAACCGAGGAGGCTCCTTGTTTCCAAAAGTTGCAGAAAGTGACAAAAACAATGTCAGAGGCCTGATCATGGCAGCCCTCTCTCACATGCTCACTTTATGCAGTTTTGTAAGCCTAAACAGGGTTTCTCTGAATCTCTAATCTAAGAGCATGTGGTAAAGTTGAAACTACCCACTTCTCTTCAGAAAGCAGCTGGGGGAATGTTTCCCCACAGCAGAATCTCTCTCTATATATATGTTTGGCAAGTGTCATGAGCACAGCCTCTGCAAGTATTTATTTATTATCCTTCAACAAAGGATCACAGGGCAGTTTACAGTATAAAGACACAAAAATACATAGCCTAATGACAGACAGTTTATTTAGCCATAGATAATTTAATTAGCCAAGGCCTGGGTTAAGAAGAATGTTTTCCCCTGGTGCTTAAAGATATATAATGAAGGCACCAGGCAAGCTTCCCTTAGTGTAACTTGTAAGCATTATTGATATTATTATTATTTATCTATTTGCATATCTACTCTGAGTGGCTATTCCCATCCCTAATCAGCTTCTGGAACTATATAAAGAAAGAGAACATCCATCCAAACACACAAAATAAGTTTATGGGTGAGTCTAATAGGCTACCAACTGAAACACTGAACCTTGGGTGGCAATCCATGAGCTTGCATACCATAGTTCCATAAGGACAAACCACACAGGCCAGGAAAGTGTTCTTGGCCACCACACAAAGCACATTTAGAAGACTGTGGCGCTCTCTCTCTCTCTCTCTCTCTCTCTCTCTCTCTCTCTCTCTCTCCTCAATTCACAAATGAGCCTGCTAAATGCTGCTTGTCTCCTTTGCATCATTCTGTCAAGTTCTGCCAGCTTCTTACAGGTCTCAGTAAAGGATTCTGGCCAGCTTAGCTCAATTTGTTCATTAGATCTGGCAACCAGGCTAGGAAGCAAAAAAGAGCTCGAGATAATAGCAGGTGCTCAGAGATGTGCAAAATGCTGAAGAGTCTCAGGTGCTCAATGAGCCAGAAAGAGCTTCAGAAATCCATGCAGGAGCCACACAGCTGCCTCAGCAGAGCAGCTGCCCTGCAGAATGACAGTCAGAGACTTAGAAGAAGAACTGGTTGTATGAGCGAGGTGGCTGGGTACCTAAGGCACACAGGGAATAAAGAAAGAAGAGTGACAACATATCCACTGAGAATAGCACCAGACTGCTTTTCAGAAAACCTAGGTTTTCTCCTAGATGGATACAGTGTGGTTCATATTTTTCAAATGTGACCAAATTTCCCATTTGGCAAAGATTATTCTGAATTCTGAGCCTATAAATTTTATTGTTTGCAATCCTTCCAGGATTTTTTTTATCCTCTGCAAATTAACAAGCATCCTCTCTGTTTTCCCATCCAACTCACACTTTTGTCTTGGGGGGGGGGGATAACACCTAATGCTGTTATTACAGTTTTGTTAAATTGACACAGCTCTTTAGGTGTAATCTTCCATTAATTCTGTAACAGTTCCTAATCCTGCTCTTATTTACTGATGAGTTAGATGCAGTATACAAATTTTGCTTTTAAAAAACCCAACAACTTTAAGTGCTAAACTGTATTCGAAGGCACATTCAATGCAAGCTACAACTGCTTATCTCTATTTCGCCTCTCACATTTTAGCCATGTTAAGTGGGTTACAGTGGCAAACAGAAGCATTTTAGCTCTCCCAGACCTTTGGTTTGTAGGAGTATGAAACCCCTAATACTGTTTTCAGATATCGTAGGCACTGTAATTGAATGAACTAAAGGATTTTCATTAAGTCTTTTTTGTGCTTTGGTATTGTATGGTTTTAATGTGTTGCATCCCACCCTGTGGCCTTTTGGTGGAAGGCAGGATACAAGCAATGAATATAAATGAAGAAAGAAATGGTTTATGAACCATGCATGAGCATCAGAGTTGAGCACTCCTCCATTGTATGATCCCACTTGGAGCTTCATGCCAAGCTTGTATTAAGCCTGAGTTGGTTTCCTGTTACATTCAAACCAGGGGACTCAGGCTAACATCCATTAACAAATCAGAATAACAAATCAGCATATCAGTGGAGAAGCTTCGTGAACATGGGTTATGTGTTTATGATGATGAGAAACTTCATCTCTCACCTGGCCTTTGTGGGTTATTAAAGTTCTTTTGGAGCACATTCTTTCTCTTATTATGTTTACACAAGCAACACAATGGAGTCCATTTATCTTATGTTTTCCCCTAAGTACCACTCAGCACGACGATGAAAATGGAGAAGAGTGGGTGTCTTTTTCTTTGATGGTCTGCTGCACAAGAATAACAACCCTCTCTCCCCTTACAAATTGACAGTCTCCAGATGGGCAGAGCGTGCTTATCATTCATGTTCCACAAGCAGCTCAATCATGTTTGACGCTCCTAAGTAAGTAGCCTGGGGGATGTGGACGACTGCCTCAGGGGTTGCTGAGAGCAGCCACCAAGTATTTTTTGAAGGGAGCAGTGCCTGAGGACAGTGGAGCATTAGCTGATTCTCAGGAGGAGAAGTGACTGAGAGTAGCAAGTTTATACCATCTCACTTCTGTTCCTGAAATATTTTTTTTCCCCGTTCACACCCATTTTCATATTAGCTACTCTTTCAGGGGTTGTCTACTGGCAAGTGACCGGCAAAAACTAGAAAAGAAAACCAAAGCCTTGATTTACTATGTGTGTGAGGCAACACTTAGGAAGATCTTGGGAGGTATGCAACTAACATGCCCCATCTGCACAAGGATTTCCTCTTGTACAGCTGGACTTTCCTCCTCCCCCCCCCACCCCCCGTGCATGCTCCACACCCTCCTCAGATCTGATTCGGGGTGCTGGAGGAAATCTTTGCACTGACAGAGCGTTCGCTTGGCAATACAGTGGTACCTCGCGTTACGAACTTAATTCATTCTGGAGGTCCGTTCTTAACCCAAAACCGTTCTTAACTTGAGGCACGTTTTCGCTAATGGGGCCTCCCGCTGCCACCACCATGCAATTTCTGTTCTCATCCTGGGGAAAAGTTCTCAACCCGAGGTACTACTTCCAGATTAGCGGAGTTTGTAACCCGAAGTGTTTGTAACCCGAGGTACCACTGTATATTGTAACCAGCAATGTTACAATGAAGTTTAGAGGCTCGATCTGAGTAGCAAAAGATCAGACTTCCACACAATATTCAGGAGGCTGCTAAGGGCCATGAATTTCAAACAGCATCTTGGGAAAGAAGAATGCGCTGGAAACTCATCTCATTCACTCCCAAAAATTATACTGGAGGACACACACCAATTCTGCCAATCTCCAATTTCCAGGCCTCCCTCCCTCCCTACACCCTGAACCAAGGATTCTTTCCATACTCCAGAATACAAGTTACTGAGGCATCTAACCAACTACATCATGCTCAGAAATGACCCCACACCACATTCCTAGCCACATGCCAGACAACTCTTCAGTTCTTTCTTTCCCATCCTCTCCAGGGTATAGTCTTTTAAAAGAGGCAGTAAGAATGTATACAAATTTGCCAAGCTTAATACAGTTACACGGCCTGCTCTATGCTCTATGCTTACTCATGCAGCTGCAAACACTAGGGTTTGTTTTTGTTTTTTTACTAGCATTTATTTGTTTTTTTAACAGAGCTTTTTAGCCAAGACTCTTAGCCAGGCAAAGAATGGCAATCCTTCCCTTTCTCTTTTACTTTAAGATAGCACTTGAAGAGCTTTTACATTTAGTGAAGTGACAAAACTCCTTTGTTCAGGGGGTCTTCAAGAGGCTCTAGCAGGCTTTTAATTTGGCAGTAGAGAATGAATTAGATTTTTATCATGTTGAGGCACCCTGACAACAAAAACTTCCAAAAGATGTCAGAAATATAACTCTACCATTGAAATCATTTTTTTTAAAAAAAGAATGCATCTATTTTGTTTCCGAATCCCACAAATTCAAGCTAATGAAAACTCCTTAGAACTGATCTTCCCGTCTCCTTGGCAGACAAATTCTGAACAACAGGTGAAGTTTGGTGTATAGAAAGGCTTTGGTCAGTATGTAGTTAACACACAGTTTTAGGTTCCCACTGGGATGGTAAAATCTATGTCTGGCAAGTAGGGACTTCACTTTAAAGAAGACTTTGCTTTGCAAACAGATTAGCAGGACTTGAATAAATTTAGCAGTATAAAAGGAAGTGGAGATAATCAGTAAGAAGGATAGAACTTGGTAACTTAGAATACATGGAAGAGAGAGAAAAGAAAGGACACCAGAGTAGGAGAAGAAGGGAAGTCCTTAGGTGTTTTGTGTTGTGTTCCTTATTTGGTCGTGGTTTGGTTTGCATTTTTCTCCTCTTAATCTTTACTTATTGTTTTTGAAGTCCATGTAAAAACACAAACTGAAAAAGACTTTGCTTTTTAAAACATAAATAAATCACAAAACAACTATCATGTGCTCAGTATATGCAGTATCTCCAACTTTCCATGCTTACAGGAAAGCCCAGCTGAGAACATCATGGCGTTTTCAGGACATGCCAGCACCCAGGAAGGCTGCAAAGTAAAGACTACTGGAGAGATGAATCGCGGAATGAAAGGGAAAAAACACAAACACAACTTGGCCACCTTGAAAGTAAGGTGAACACGATAAAAACATTGCATCCCACCCAGCAGAAATGCACCAGAATTTCCTCTCCCCTTCGAAATCTTTTCAAACGCAATTTCTAAAATGAATAAACGCTCATGAAAATTCATGAAGAACAAATGAACCTACAGAAATGAATGGGAGAAATAAATGAAAATCTATCCTTTCCTTTGTCGTAGGAAACTAACAAGAGACATTGCATTGTTAGGAAACTAACAAGAGACATTAATTCCAGCAATTAATATTCAGAATCATTACTGTGGTCAGTAACTAAAATGAGTTATTGTTGTGTGCTTTATCCAAGCGGTAATGACACAGAACACATACAGGATTTATTTATTATTATTTTTTGCTTTTTCAGGGAGCAGGAACAGAGAGAGAGAGAGAAATTGTTTCAATTTTGTAGAATTGCACATGTTCAACCCAATAATTTAACTGGATGGCTTGTTTTTGTATTGTTTTTTAAAGTGCAGTTGAATTTAGCTAAGTAAAGTTGGTTTTCTCTTATCCTTAATAGTTCATGCAGTTCAACAAATTCAGCCACACACAAAAAATCAATAATGAAAATCAAAACACACACACAAATCAAATTGGACAGATATATATCTGTGCAGATGTCCACGGCTGTTTTAAATGGGGAAGTATACTGACCTATAACCTAGCCAACTATATGAGTGGCTGGGGAAACCCAGCCAGATGGGTGGGGTATAAATAATAAATTATTATTATTATTATTATTATTATTAGCAGCAGCAGCAGCAGCAGCAGCAGCAAAGAAAATATTCTAATACAGTGCAGAGCTTCTAAATACCAGTTTCAGAAAACCACAGAAGGGGAGAGTGCTCTTCTGCTCAAGACCTGCTTGCAAGCTTCCTACAGACATCTGGTTGACCCCTGTGAAAAAAACAATGCTGGACTAGAAGATGGGCCATTGGTCTGATCCAGCAGGCTCGTCTTATGTTCTTATATAATGACAGGTGTGTAGCCTCACCCTTGTATCAAAGTTGGTGCAAGGGGTGGAGTGGGGAGATAAAGACCTGACTCATTGGGTCAAAAGAGTTCCACACTCCTGCTTTTGGATAAACAACTTGTTAACTAAGTCCAGGATGAACCAATGACTCTCCTAGCCACACAGGGAGGCCCAAAGGGGTGAGTGTCGATGCTGGGAAATTTGGCAGGAACCCAACAGTGGCTGAAATAGCTAGAGCTAGAAACCTTGACATTTCCCACTCCCACATTGCACCATTATAGAACTAAATTCATAGAGCTTCGGTAAAGCTCTCCGCTTAAAGCATATAAAGCATCCCACAAATAACACAACATGTCAGCCATGATACTTTACAATTCTATGATTCTTCCCCAATGAATGAAATGTGGAGGGATAGGCCAAAGTCTTCCATAAGTTAAGATGGAAGACCTAAGTAGTAACTTTCCTAGCAGTACCTGCTGCAAATCTGAAGGTCTGAAAATAGTAGCTGACAGGAACAAAAAATAAACTGTCAGTCATAACAACTTAAGGTTAAGATTAGCTGAACTGTGCATTTCCTCACTTTTTAGAGCTTAAGCTGAAGAGGGCTTTTAACCTCAAACAGCTTAGTGTAACTGAATCCGAAGTTTCTCTTGAAAGTTTCTGCATATGGAGACTTAACTTTTGATGAAGATGGCACAGAAAGGCTCCATTTGCAGACATCTTATCTCTCCCCCACCTCCACTTAATAAGGGAGGCAGAGGAGTATGAAATGACTCGATAATGAAAGGTTAGAGCGACACTCAAAGGTAAAGGGTGTATGATAAAACTTATGAGATATCATAACACCGATTTCCCCCTCGCCCCCAGAAATCCACTCAAACAAACAGTTGTCAATGTGAACAGGTAGGCGTTATACATCAGGAGAGTAACTGTGAACAATGAGATAGAAAGCCATTCCTATGGTTTAATTAACTGTGGCTAATTAAAGTGAAAATGAAGGCTTCTTGTGGCTTTGTAGGAGAGGGGGTGCATGAATCCAAGAATTACCGTGGCTTGTTCATGTTGGACTAAACCGTGGTTTAGCAAATGTTAGTGCAACATACCTCAATTCTCAAGCTATCTTCAACTTCCAGCAAGAGCCCTTATTTTCTTTTCCTTGACCCAAGTAAACTACTGTTCCTGTTTTTGCTTTTTGGGGAGGCCTTGTTAAAATGTTAATGCATGCTGTTCAATATATGATTCTTAGGGTCAGCTCCCTCCCCACCCCTTAAAACGGAGGGAAGCACTGCTCCAATCCCCAAAGCACCACCTGGGTCCACCTGTCAAGATTGGTTGGAGAGATATTAGCGGTGGGGGGGCAACCTCTGTCTAGGTAGCACTGCAGGGGCAGGATACCTTGCCCAAGGGCCCCTCAAACTTGTTGCCAGGCCTGGGGATTGAGATCAAGTGAATGGTAGCAATTTAGGATCATTTGTTGTTGTTTAGTCGTTTAGTCGTGTCCGACTCTTCGTGACCCCATGGACCAGAGCACGCCAGGCACTCCAGTCTTCCACAGCCTCCCGCAGTTTGGTCAAACTCATGCTGGTAGCTTCGAGAACACTGTCCAACCATCTTGTCCTCTGTCGTCCCCTTCTCCTTGTGCCCTCCATCTTTCCCAGCATCAGGGTCTTTTCCAGGGAGTCTTCTCTTCTCATGAGGTGGCCAAAGTATTGGAGTCTCAGCTTCAGGATCTGTCCTTCCAGTGAGCATTCAGGACTGATTTCCTTAAGAATAGATAGGTTTGAACTTCTTAAAGTCCATGGAACTCTCAAGAGTCTCCCCCAGCACCATAATTCAAAAGCATCAATTCTTCGGCAATCAGCCTTCTTTATGGGCCAGCTCTCACTTCCATACATCACTACTGGGAAAACCATAGCTTTAACTATACGGACCTTAGGATCATTAGATTTAGTATAAATGAGTACAGTCGTACCTTGGATCCCAAACACCTTGGCTGCCAAACAAATCGGCTCCCGAACTATCAAAACCCGGAAGTGAGTGCTCCGTTTTTTAAATGATTTTCAGAAGCCAAACATCTGGCGCGGCTTCCGATTAGCTGCAGGATGCTCCTGCAGCCAATCGGAAGCCAAACTTTGGTTTCCGAATGTTTTGGAAGTCAGAGTTAATAGTTATCTGTTCTATTGTTAGTTGGTGTGTTGAGTTCATCAACCTTTGCAATAATTGTTATTGACTAAAAATGGCAAATATCTGTACTGCTGAATGCATTTTTATTATTCTGTACCTAAATATTATCCTTGAAAATAAATATAAATATACAAAAAAATGCATAAAGTCTCTGTCTGGGGGAAAAGACAACTCTAGTCTAAATCCATTTATCTCAAGGCACTTTAGAAACATGGAAGAGAAACCAATTTGCAGGGTTGGGAGCTGAAACTAACTGTGTCTAACATCAGAAGGGATGTTGCTAACCCCAACATGTTTTCTCGGTAGTAACATTTTGCTGGGAGAGTTTCACAGGGAAAATAGCTGTTTGCTTTACAATAATTATTGTTATGATTTGAACTCATTCTTTTCGATTAATAAGATTTATTTTAAAAGTTCCAAAAACACATGGCTGTTATTAAATTACTAAGAAGTTCAATGAACAACTTGTAAAGAAAGAAAAACAATGTTACAAATCAAATTTCAATACACAATGAGATGAGAATTTCTCATTTACAATCTCTAATTTTGTAGGAATTTCTACTATTTTTAAGTGTGTCATAGCAGACAGGTAAGATGATATTTGAATCTCAGGATGAAATGAATATCTTCCCATCTGATTCTTTTCACTTATTTAGCATGCATGTGAAGAAACAAACTTTGAGGGAAATTTATACTGGTGGGGGAAAGTATGCATCCTTCAGAGAGAGAAAAGAAGGAAAGAATTAACTATGGTTCTTGAAACTAAAGGAAATTACTGCTGCTCTGGAGAGAGAGAGAAGGCAGGACCTTTTTTTAAAGGTCTATATGGGTAACAATGTGGAAAACAATATGCCTCTTTCCATATTGTACTTTTTTTGGTAAGTCTGCAAAGGGTCCATCATCAGTGACTACACAGGCACTAGCCAATAGGTGCACATCTCCATCTCAGTAATACTTGTACTTCAAGGTGGGGGATTTCTGAAGATTGCAGGAACCTTCTCCTTCTGTTAAACTAAGTGGTCATAAACAGCTATTTTGTGTTAGTTAATGTCTTGGTCTAAGACTGAAAGAGGGAAGAGAATTTCTTAGAAAGCGAGAGGCAGTTGAAATTTAAGCAATCTGTCATCACTGCAAGCTTCTCAACATCTCTTCCTGCAGCAAATTGGGCTTGTTCCAGGCTACCTTCTCTGAAAGATACATAGACCATGCTTCATCTGTAGCTGTAATAACAATCGGAGAACAGGCTGTGCAGAGCACAGAATCGATAGGCAGTGTAAACAGGTGACACAGAGAGGAGATTGGGCCATAAAGAATAGGTATGAAACTGCTCTGATTCCCTATGCTGGAGTGGGTGCTGTCAGGGCACGCTATTTATCCTGCTGCCAGATCATTCCTCTGTGGCTAATTGCATTTTCCCACCTGCTAATGAGCTCCAGATCTCCGGCAAGCAGCCATAAAAAACCAAAGAGCCCCAAGCCACACCAGGATAAAAATAAAAGAAAAAAGTGGGTCAGCAGTGGCATAAGAAAATTAGGCACCTGGCATGACAGTGGAGCAGAGGCCTTTTCCCAGGGAAGGGAAGTTAAGCAGTCAGCAAAATTTATTCCTGGAGAGCTAGCATGCTAATTTTGGGCAGCTCGAGACCACGTCTACTCCAGCTCCCGCAGACATAACAACATGGATCCATAAAATCATGAACACTTTATTTCCCTGTGCAAACTTTATTGCACAGATAGTCTGCTGTAGTTTTGAAAGGAACATTACGAAAAGTACACATAACCAGCGTAAAGAGGGGTTTCAATTCACAATGGAAGATAAACTGTTACACAGCACTATGACAATTTAAAGAATTATTTGGCAGATAGGTGAGTGGAATATGATAAAAGTAGAAGCTTAACTTTTTAAAAAAATCATGTGCTGGTTTTCATCTGCTCTTTGTGTTATCTGCTACTTGTATAATTAATGGGTGGTATTTGACTAAGTCATGCTCAGACCAGACCCACTGACATCAGCTCCTTAGAAATGCCATCTCTGCTTCAGCATCATAAGATGACTTGGGCTGCATACGCACAATGTTTTATTCTACAATCACTGATGGCCAAGTACTTTTTTCCTACATAATCCGCACACAATCTAGATCTATTGCATATTTCTTACCCCTGAAAAGAGCTTTTTGGGAAACTGGTTTCATTCCAAAAAATAAAAGCTCATTGCAGACTGATTCTGTACTACCCTTCAGTGTGTCCATTTGAAAACAGCTGTAGAGCCCCCCAGCAATGGAGGCCGTGTAGCCACACTTGCCCAGTGATGTTTTGGGTGCGTGCATACCAAGATGGCAATCACCACTCCTTTCTTCATTCACCTGGGGCACATGCAGGGAGGAAAAGGGGGGGGGAATAACCTAATCAAAGGGTTTTCAAATGCATATCTCGTGACATACGCATATCGAAATACGGTACATTTTGATGGGGGGATCTGAGTCAAGAAGTGCTTTGCAAAACCAGAGAAGTGTGAAATCTGAAGGATAATCTGCTTCCTGATCTGCATATTAGTAGTCCAAGAGACTTAATCAACACTCTCAAGGAACCAACACACTTTTCACCTTAAGGACAGATTATGCCCCCAGATGCATAATACCTAGACTAATACAAGTGACTGAGAAGAGAAGACTCCCTGGAAAAGACCCTGATGTTGGGAAAGATTGCGGGCACAAGGAGAAGGGGACGACAGAGGACGAGATGGTTGGACAGTGTTCTCAAAGCTACCAGCATGAGTTTTACCAAACTGTGGGAGGCAGTGGAAGACAGGAGTGCCTGGCGTGCTCTGGTCACGAAGAGTTGGATACGACTAAATGACTAAACAACAACAACAATACAAGTGACGCTTGAGGTGTGGGAGATTGCTAATTTTTGGAAGTGCTTTGAGGATGGAAGAGTGACATGAAGCTGAAATACGAACCGACAGACCCAATGAGAAAATCCATGAAAGGAAAAGTTCCTGGTCCCCCCCCCCATCCACTTTCAATTGTGTCTACCACTCAGTGTGATAACACCCTGCTGATTAAGTAGACTTTTGGAGAGGAAGAGTTATCTGTAAACTATTGCTTTGTGGAGAAGGATGATGCCTGGAATTCCAAGCTTCTCTGTCATCCTCAATTTAATGTCACCCATGGATATTATATTTTTGAGGAACCATTCTGCAACATCATGGTAGTTTCTGCAGTTACCTGGGCACCTAATTCTCCAGTACAGTTCCAAATTGTTGTGTTAACTAAGAGAGAGTGGGGATCTGCCGACAGTTTATCCTTAACCACGGCTTCTTCTACGAAACAAGAGTACTCAATAACTACTTTTAATTGGAAGAACTTTAGGGGGTTTGTTAAAACAAGTAAAATAGGTACTGCTGGACCCCCATATTGGCTGTTTCCTTTGAAAGAAACATACTGTGATTTGAAAAAGGATATATTCAGCTTAAATCTGTAGACTATGATGCCAGAATTGAAAAGCATAATGTAATGGAACCTCATACCATAACAATGGGTACAATTAACAAGCAAATTGATCCTCTAATTTGGAATGCCATGACTTTAAATTATATAGAATATCCAGTTGTGGGATCCCATGTGCTTAAATTGAATCAGCCTCAAGAGATTATTTTGCAGCCTCAAAATTCTATAATCCTGGCCCAACTGCATTGGCTGCCAATTCATCTCCAGGCACAATTAAAAGTGCTTGTTTTGACCTATAAAGCCTTAAACAGCTCAGGACCGCAATTCCTCAAGGATGTATCTGACCCAGACCCTGCAACTATAATCTAAGAGCCTTCTTTGTGTGCCCAGAAAAGTTCAAAGGACGGCAACATAGAACGGGCCTTTTCTGTGCCTTTGTTACATATCTTTAGGCACCCAGAAAAAGCATTCCTCTTCTCCCAGGCCTTTGGCTAATTAAACAATCTATGGCCTCTTAAACTGTGGTGGGGAATATAATTTTCGTTTGTTATAATTGTATGTGTTTTTGTGCTTTTATATTGTAAACTGCCCTGAAATCTTTGGATGAAGGGCAGTATAGAAAGTTAATAAATAAATAAATAAGATAAAGAAGAGATGCAGATCAAGTGGTTCATATTTGCAAAAAACAAATTCTTGAAACATCCCTAGTCAGGGGGAGTATATTCATGGTCACACATTGGGGCATAGATGGTAATGGCCAGATGACAGTGGGATTGGGTCTATCTTGTTAGTGGCAGCTAACACTGCCACAAAACTCCAGTGATCTGCATGCGGCTTTCATTTCATATTATGCATCTGTGCAAAGAGAGGATCCTGCTCTAGAGAGCATGTATAATGAGAGTAATAGTTTTTTCTTCTCCTGCAACTGCCCCCCTTTCCGTTTCTTGCTGAGCTGGAAGAAACCTCCTATCAGTTCTATCTGAGAAGGCAAATCAGAGAGTGTTTAATGCTGAGCAGCAGGAAACCCTTTGAGAGCCTGGGACAATTTCCTGCACTGTATGCAATGCTTTTCACTCCAGTTTTGCTGTTATTTTCCCTCCAGAACTTTGGGGAAAAAACACATTATCTTGCAGGAGCATATATGCATTGTAAAAGCACAGAGCTTTTGAAGCCTGGATGTACAAAATAACATTAAAACCATGCCCGATTCTGACTGACCTTTAACTGAGCAGCCAAACACATTCTTTGTGCCATTACTTGGAAGGACAAAGTCTTTCTCTAGAGATCTGCAATTGCTCCTCAGATCACTTGTCACACAAATACAGACAGACAGAAACAGCAGCATCCACAAATTGTTTTAAGAAATGCACAGACAATTACTGTATTGCCAGACTTAACTCACACTGGGGAATTCTGTCTCCCATGTGTGATACATAGTCTTCGGCTCCGTATATATTAATCTTAGTGGTTAATCTGGATTCAGTGTGTTCCCACTTCTGCTCTGAACACATGATGTTAGCCAGGATCCACAGGCACCTACAGGCAGTTTTTTCTTTGAAAACAACCACCCCCCTGTGTTTTCACGTGGTTTCCCACAAGCCAGCCTCACTCTCTTGAAAAAAGTTTTACTTATTCAATGCTTGGCGAATATGAGGCATGAAGAATGGAAACATTTGCTGGGGGTGGCCCTAAATATCTGGTGTCTGTAGTGGGTGTGAAATACCACTTCTGCCTTTGACATACAGTGTGGGATAATTTCTCTTCCAGAACACTACTCATAGAATCATAGAATTGTAGATTTGGAAGGGATCCTGAGAATCATCTTAGTCCAAGCCCCTGCAATGCAGAAATTTCAACACGCAGTCCCACATTCTATCTAATATCTATCTGAAACCATACTGGACACTGCCTAGCTTTGCAACTGTGCTAGCAGTTTTATTGCTGCGTTTCTGGGTAAAAGGAAAAAGGGAGGGGAGGCAGAGCAGGCTTTCCTTCTCTCTGCAACCCCTGTCCCCGCCCCCAATTGCAAGCCTGATCAAGGTGGGAACAACTAGTTCACTTCTACTTGCTGCTTTAAACAGGATCAGTAGCCTGCTTCCACCCCTCGTTCCAGAAGAGAAGGGCTAGCCATGGAAGCGAGGCTGAGAATCAGGAGGAATTACATGTTCATTCCTCATAAACATCAGCAGCAGCCAAAGCAAGAACCCTCTGCTTGCTCAGTCTTGCTTCAGCCTTATACAGAGTCAGACCATTCTTCCATCTAGTTCAGTATTGCCTACATCAGGACTGGGAGCAGCTCTCCAAGGTGTCAGGCAGGGGAGATGCGAGAGACTGAACATGGGACCTTCTTGCATGCAAAGCTGATGTTCTGTCACTGGTCCTTCTCGAGAGAAGGGGGAAGATTGTCTGCCATGATGGCAATAACATCAATAAAACTACTTTGCCCACTGAAAATAGGCTGCTGAAATAAATAAATGGGAGTGGACTTTTGAGTCCAAGAATTATGAGCTCAGTTCAGTTCTGCTACTGAAAACAACTCCCTTGACTCATAATATGCTCAAAGGAACCCTCTTCTTCAAAATCTGCCTCTTTTCCATCTGGCTCTGCTTGGTAAATCTTGGGTTTCCTGTTAAAATACACACACATCTAAAACTTGCATTTCTGGTATTTATTTATTTTTTTAATAAAGTGACTGGTACCCCTTGGAATCCTAGTAAGATATGAATTAGATTCAACAAGCATGATTCAACAAGCATTGTGGTAGCAGAAAAGGCACAGCTGCAGGTGAAATGCAGTTGTTGTAGTGGTGGGGCCAGCGGCAGTGCAGGCAGCGAAGTGGGCTAGATTCTGCTACTGCAGCAAAACACACCCTGGGCCCCTGCTCTAGATCAAACAATAGGCTGCTTTTTAGGCTCGGTGGAACTGTTGCAGCCAAAACTCAGGTCCCAAACCAAATCAGTCCAATTCATGCCAACCTGAAATTCAGCTGGAGGAGGTTGAGGCAGCCCTGAATTGCACCAGGTTGGATCAGATCCACCTGGAACAAGCCAGGATGGTCAAAAGTTGGGTGATGAGGAAATGGGGTAATGAAGGAAACATAAGATGCCTGTGTCTCCTCCCCTCTCCACTCCCAGCCACATGCTTAATTGTGGCTTAAACCCCTAAATAAACATTGTGCAAGCCCCCTTTATTTGATTCAGGGCATGGATACAGGTTGGGTCATTGCTGGATCATCCTGAGTCAGATTGGGACCACCTCGAAATTCAGGTCCCAAACTGAATGGGGTCTGTGCTATTTTTGCCATGATTTATGCATTCCAGATCCTGCCAACCTAGCAGTTCGAAAGCATGTCAAAGTGGAAGTAGATAAATAGGTACCACTCCAGCGGGAAGGTAAATGGCGTTTCCGTGCACTGCTCTCATTCACCAGAAGTGGCTTAGTCATGCTGGCCACATGACCCGGAAGCTGTATGCCGGCTCCCTCGGCCAATAAAGCGAGATGAGCGCCACAACCCCAGAGTTGTCCGTGACTGGACCTAATGGTCAGGGGTCCCTTTACCCTTTACCTTATGCATTCCACAGTAGAATCAGTGCTTTTCAGTATATGGTTGGAGCGGCCCCCATCTTTCTTTTGGCACTACCACCACACTGCTAATGATTCTAAGCTTTTCAGGCTACTGACCTGAGATGTGGTAAACGTCTGCTCCTTAGCTCTCCGACAGCCAAACATCAAACCAGATAATGAATTCTACCACAGAAAGATCCCACGCTCATTTCCATCCCAGTTAGAGGCCAAGTGAGAAATCTGTATTCCGTGCTCGGCACAGCACATCGCTACTACTAATATTCAATGAATAATTAAAGTTTTTAAACTCACTTCTGCCTTTCACACATGTATTATTAAATGGCTACTAGAGAGAACTAGACCTGTTTTTACTGCTCATTACTACTAACACCTTAACTGAGCACAGAGTGGGGGGGGGGGGAAACATATTTTTATCATCTTGTCACATAAACTGCAGAGCATATTGCAAAAATAATCTGCATGGGGATGATACATGCACTCAGCTTTTATGCCACGGTTTATATGAAGTATGCACATGAATGTCTGCCATCAGTCTGGCAAAATGGTTGTCCTGCAGTTGTAGCTAAACCATATAAACCATCCTGGGTGAGGACTGTATGCATAAATTCCATCTTATCTCACATATAGATACTGAAAACTCTCTGCCAATCACAGCTTTCCAGTAATCCAGTATGACCACGGGCAATATAAACATATTTTAAATATATAAATAAATATGGACTGGTTGAATTGGGTGGCCACACAGTACAAAGATCCTCTGAAACAGTTTCAAACCCAACAGCTTCTATTCCAGGAGAAGGGTTTCTTTCTAGACTTACAGGTGCCAACCAGAGTGATCTCTCTGCTCTTTGCCATCGTCCGTAGAGGAAAGCTACCCAGACCCCTCTAGCAAATTCTGTGGTAGAGGTCCTGCAACTGACAGACTCTTGCCCAGATCCAGACCCTCAAAGGGAGCAGCTGCACTGTTCCCTGCCAGAGGCAGAAATGACACTTTACTCATAGAAATTACTCAAAGCTACTTACGAACCCAACAGAAACACTAAAACCTATTACAATAAACATAATCAATGGTTCCCAGCTTAAGCATACTACTAGAGGCTATGTAGAGCCACTGTACAAAATCTACACAGAAAAGGACGATGGTTTTGTTGACTCCAAGTAAAACTGCTAGTGAAGTTCACCAGCATAGATACTGACCTCATTGCTCAAAGGAGAGGTGAGCATTACAAGATTCAGGAGCTTATAATTGTCACTTCAAAAGGAGAGGTTGGATGGCCATCTGTCATGTATAAACTAGTTGAGATTCCTGCATTGCAGGGGGTTAGATCAGATGACCCTTGGGGCCCCTTCCAACTTTGCAATTCTATGATTCTATGAGAGGCCCCCCAAATTCTTATCTGTCTCAGATTAAAATCCAACCCGGAGAAGAATTTCCAGTGTACTCATCTACCATTTCCAATGCCTCCATACACTTCCCCCTCCCACAACATTTACCCAGCTGTGGCAGCAGCTGAACAATCATATCCAGCATTCACTATCCTCTCTTTTCCATCAGGCTGTTAGTGCACAAGGAAAAAAGGGCTACTTCAGACATGTAACTTTTCCCATTTCCACAGCAATTCCAAATTTGATATCCAAAGCTATGGCTCCAAAAGTCAGCTATTATGTCCCCCTCCTTTAAAAAACAACAACAAACATTACTTATTTTCCAGTCCAATCCAATGTGAGCTAAGAGAGGTAGACCCCCTCACTAATTCTATGGCATTTAAACAAAATAGATTTCTTTACTTAGGAATCTGGAAACGAGATGACGGTTTAGGGCTTTTAGATCTGTCGCCTTGTCTAATCGCCACCTTCCTGTTCAGCATGTGCTTGTTCAAGAACAATCATTTTTCTAAAATCGGTTTTCTGAAACTGAATCCAATCAGTCAGGCCCAAGCAGCGCACGATGAGAAGGCACCACAGAGCTGCTTTCAACAAGCAGCTGCATTTAAATAGATGCATACATCAAACAATGCGATTAAGGTATTTCCACATGAAATAGGGGTGGCATTAGGCTCAGCAAGGCAATGAATTTCCAGCCTAAGTTGCCTAAATGGATGCAGTCAAGCAGCTTTGGCTTGTGATCATTAGTCCTCATCATAATACCATTCTTACTTTAATAAAAATCCATCACTGTTGATGAGGAGTGGGGAGTGTGTGAGTGGGCAGATCTTTAACAGGTGCTCTGTTCCACAGCAGGAAATCTAGTGGATACATTCACAAAGCAATCAAGCTATTTACCAGCAGGAGCGGAGAATCTCAGGCCCAGGGCCAAATGCAGCCCTCCCAGCTTATTAACCAGGTGCTCGGAATTCTCCCCAGGCTCCACCTCCTTTCTTCAAGCCACACCCCTCCCTGGCCCTGCATTGCAGCCTGCTTGGGTGTTTTTGCCTGTCTTGGACTCACAGCTCAGTTGTTGCTTTATTCCAAAAATCACTACAATGCCAAAACATAGATCAGGCTACAGGTAACACCAGGCTTCCTCAAACTCGGCCCTCCAGATGTTTTTGGCCTACAACTCCCATAATCCCTAGCTAGCAGGACCAGTGGTCATGGATGGTGGGAACTGTAGTCTAAAAACATCTGGAGGGCTGAGTTTGAGGAAGCCTGGGTTACATGGTTCAGAAGTTCATAGCAGAGCTCTAAAGAACAAGCTAGATGCATGTTAAGATTTGGTTCCAACATTTGATGTGTAAATGAGCTTCCCTTTGGAAGAGCAGTCATCTGTGTGGTGGTTGTCCTGAGCCACAGGACTGGGCAAGCAAGCAGGCACTCCTGCAAGTAGGTTGGATCTACTTGCATGGTCTCAGCCATCACAACATCCTTCGAGAAGGAGGCAGCATAGCCAGCTCACTATCCAATTTAGCTTCAGGAAGCACAATCACATCAGGAGGATCTACCATGACATTTGGGGCATCTGATGATACTGAGTTGTGACTGTCTCCAGGCAACTCACCGAACCTCTCCCTAGCATCCAGATCAGCACCTCCCAAACCACAGGGCCCTTCCCCTAGATCCAAGCTCTGCATTCTCATCCCAATCCTCCTCCCGCTTCAGAAAAGCCCTGCAAAGAAATCTCAATGGGACTCATGAAAAGGGTTTGCCTTCTGAATTGGGCACCAAATTAATTTTTAATTCTGATTTTATTTTACTTATTAGATTTATATACTGCCAGTCATCATAAGATGTCAGGGTGGTTCACAGAGTTTTGAGGCCAGATCTGTACAGAGTAGCAAAAGATCAGATCCATTACTTACTAGGACCACTTCTCCTTCAGAGCTAATCCCTCCAACATTTGGCGCTTCCTTTGAAGTTAAGTCACCTAGTGTCATGATGATACAAGGTGGAAACAAAGCTCAGTACCTTGCCCAAATCAGGGATCACGGCTTTGCTCAAAATACAAACAAACTGCAATCAATAAGCCAAAAAAAACAACCCTTAGCTACAGAGCAAACCAAACCTCAATCCCTTTTTTCCTGATATGATTCTGAGTCAGCAGTCATGGTTTCTTTCCTTCTAGCAAGGGCAGGGAGCGTCAGGAAGCAAATCACACAGTAAGCTATGTCTTATGGCTTGCTGTGACATGCAAATATGATGAATATCTAAATACTGCAAGCCTTTCCTATCCACAGAATGCCAGCTCCCCCTATGCAAAATCTTCCCAAAACTGAGGCTATCTTCATTTACAGCAACTGTTCTCCTTCCTAGGAATCCCCTGATGGATCGCGCCCATGAGATCACTTGCAGAAACTGCAACTATTGTAGGCAAGTTCTGCATTCTCTCCAAATATGATATTATTATTGTTACGTTTATCTTCATATGTACCTGGCTGCAGGTTAGCAAGATGATAAAGGGGCCGAATGCTCATTGATTGTTTGGAATAGTCACACTGGGAGATATAGGTTAGTTGTGAGCAGTGATATCAGGGATTATAGGATTAGAATTGTTTTATCTATAGCAGGGAATGGCAGAAGTGGAACAGGGGTCTACATAAGGTCATACATTAGCAAATGCAGCTGCAGTCTAACTCTTCTGCATCTTCCCTCATATACTTGATGCACAAATTTACATTGCTAAAATTAAATTGAAAAACATCAATGTGTGGCCCAAATATGTCCCACAGATGGTAAAATCAGCAGCTTCTGGATGCAGACGGGAAGAATCTACAGACTGAGAAGGCCTAAAGTAATTTTCTGTGCTCATATGTAAAACTGAATGCAGTGCATTATTGGTTTATTATGTACCACATTTTCCACAGAAGTAGTACAGAGAACTTGATAAATAAATACATAGATACACACATAAATAAATAAATAATCACCACACATGGGAGTACTTCTGTAAGTACCGTATTTTTTGCTCTATAAGACTCACTTTTTCCCTCCTAAAAAGTAAGGGGAAATGTGTGTGTGTCTTATGGAGCGAATGCAGGCTGCGCAGCTATCCCAGAAGCTAGAACAGCAAGAGGGATTGCTGCTTTCGCTGTGCAGCGGATGATCCCTCTTGCTGTTCTGGCTTCTGAGATTCTGAATATTTTTTTTTTCTTGTTTTTCTCCTCCAAAAACTAGGTGCGTCTTGTGGTCTGGTGCGTCTTATAGAGCGAAAAATACGGTAATTCCTACGTATGGACTCTTTAATCTAGCCCTAAGCGGGGTGGAGCAAAACCAGGAGTATTGCAACTTTTAAAGGAAATGAAAGATGGAGCAGGCTTGTTTTCTCCTGCTCCAGAAGGCAGGACCCGAACCAATGGATTCAAGCTAAAAAAAGGAGATTCCAAATCAACATCAGAAAGAACTTTCTGACAGTATGAGCTGTTTGACAGTGGAATGGACTCCCTTGGAAGATGTGGTGGGCTTGGAGGTTTTTAAGCAGAGCTTGGATGGTCATCTGTCATGGATACTTTAGCTGAGATTCCTGCATTGCAGGAGGCTGGACTAGATGACCCTAAGGATTCCTTCCAACTCAACAATTCTATGATCTTGGAAATAATCTGTGTGCCTTTCACAGAGCTCGCTATGTGCACATGGCCCTCCCACTTTATTATGCACAGAAGCAAGTTTAGAACACAGTTCCTATGCCAAAACGCAGGGAAGGGTCACCAAGCTTGATTGCCTTAATGCCAGACCATGCTGGGCAGAAACCAAGGGCAGAAACACAAACTGTAGAGGCATTACTGCAGTGTGAGATGCAAGTACGCCACAGACATGGATGGAATTGAGATCCAAATCAGGAGATTAATTTGCCCAAGTTCCACCAGCTTTCCCCATCGAAAGAAAGAACTTCTCTTTTAAATGATGTGGAAAACAGAAATGTTTTGTTGTTGTTTTTTTGCAAATTGGATGGCTACAATGCAAGCATACCTCTGAGACGGGAGCATCATTTGCCTTTATTCCCCGCAGACAGGTGTTTATTATGCATCTCTCTTTCTCTAAATTCCAACCACACTTCGAGACACATGCTAGACAGCAGAAATGGGATTTAGGCACCTGCGGTAAACTAAAGAGGCTCCCCCAAGCCTGTGAATAGGAAGAGCACCAGGGCAGCTACTCACTTTTAATTGCTCCCTGTAGCATGGAGCAATTAGGGAAGCAAGTCTCAGGCAGAAATCCTTTGAAGTCCTCATATCCTGAACTCCAACTGCCTGCAGCTCCATAGCTCTCGGTTCAGATACAGCAGAAAACAGTGGGACAGGTTTTTGGCATGCACGACACATTAATGCCGTTGTGTGCTAACTATGTTCACGACTGCCCACCTCTGAAAAATCTAAATTCTACATTGCCATGTTTAGATGACTCTGTGTGTAGCAGAAGCTCATCCTCCACCCAACGGCATACTTGGGAATGACCCATGCTGACAATGACAGAAGCAAGTAGGTCAGGTATAGATTCATATTCCTAGATGCATATTCCTAACAGCAAAAGCACACACATTGTACCGCTGCTTTTTAAGGCTGAATACATTTCAAGACATTATTCTTGTTGTTCTTTGTATGCAGGTCCCAGTCTGAAAGAACATCAAGGGACCCCTTTGCCTTATTTGGCATAATTGCATAGCAGCGCCTATAAAACATGCCTGAATTGCCAATAAAAATTGGCAAAGGGACCCCTGACAGTTATGTCCAGTTGCAGATGACTCTGGGGTTGCGGCGCTCATCTTGCTTTACAGGCTGAGGGAGCCGGCGTTTGTCCGCAGACCGTTTTTCCGGGTCATGTGGCTAGTATGACTAAGCCACTTCTGGCGAAACCAGAGAAGCACACAGAAACGCCATTTACCTTCCTGCCGGAATGGTACCTATTTATCTACTTGCACTTTGATGTGCTTTTGAACTGCTAGGTTGGCAGGAGCTGAGACCGAACAACGGGAGCTCACCCCGTCGCGGGGATTCGAACAGCCAACCTTCTGATCGGCAAACCCAAGAGGCTCAGTGGTTTAGACCACAGCGCCACCTGCGTCCCACGAATTGCCTATGCCACTGCTTTAAAGACTCCAGGAAAAGCTCTCTCTCCCCCTCTTTATTAAAACACATTTATTCAAAAGTTACAACACAGCTTCATCCACTGCCATAATATCACCATAATATCACAGAATGATCACTCCATTCCTCAGTCCCATGTCACTGTCATGTTGGCTCACCAAATACTATCAATCTGGTTTACTGGACATTTTAAATTAATATATCCCCTCCACAGCACCTCTGTGATGATGGTGACATTAAAATATCCTGTTCTTTTTCAATAAAAGAGAAAAAAGGAGACCAAATCATGCCAAAGGTATCTTTCTTGGAGATGCCTTTGATTAGTTGCCAATGGTATGTGAGGCATTCTAATAAAGCAATGCTCCAGGTGTTATTAATCCAAGCCTTTATTGGTATATTAGAGGCTTTCTTCCATCGTTGGGCAATAACTAGTTTAGCTGCTCTGAACAGGAAGGAAATTAATGCTTTAGATTTAAGGGTAGAATTTGGGGCCAAATCTAGCGATAGTAAGGCAAGTAAGGCCAGGAGAGTAGATTGTTTAGTGATTTGGGGGGGAGTCTGATTCAAAGCTGTTTACAGCTTTAAGCATTAGAACTGTACCTTCAAATAGACAGAAAAATAAACTTGTAACTAGGTACAGTTTGTGGAAGTGCCAGATACCAAAGCTCCTCACATTCTCCATCAGATGAAGTTTCAAGGAATAAAGCCATAATATGACTTCTAATCTTAACCAAGCTTCGCTGCAGCAAAGACATACATATGGTGGTAATCTCTCCAAGTCAGGCTGCAGGCTGAAATAAGTTGGAACGGGCAGAAAGCACTCTTGACAAGAACTGCCACCTGCATATACAGCACCAGGCCAGAAATGCAACAGAAATTACAGGCTGCAAAACTGAGTCAACAGCCGAGGAAAATACCAGCGATGACCAAATGGCTACCCACGATAAGAAAATTTGTGGGATTTGCAACTTGAGTCAGCCCTATGACTAACACAAATAAAGAATTAACCCAACTAAAGAACACTTCCAGTTCCTTAGAATTAAAACCTAAGAATCAGTTTTAAAATCCAAAAACTAAAATACAAGAATCATGGGAACATTCATCGATTTCTGAGGTACTTGTTCTGGCAAAAAGGCATGTCGCTACAGTATTCCCACGGGACACAATGAACAGGTCAAAATGTAAATATCATAAGGCTAAGCTTCAGCTGAAAGCCCTAAGCTTGGGGGGTGAGGGACAGACAATAGTTTTATACCTTAGTGAGCAGAAGTTCTCCATAGTTTGTTATTGCCCAGCTGACACATCTGAGTGAACCATACAGTAGTTAATGGTACACCACAAGAGCAGAGATGACTCCTGCTTTGCTCCTCACCTAGCACAAGCAATAATACACAATACCTGGAGTATCCTGACATCTGAACCAGGAATAGTGGTTTATTTTGCTCAAACTCTTAACTCTCAATAACACACCTTGGCTACACACCATGGTTTGTTTGGAGCAACCCTGGTTTGAACATAAAGCTAAGCCAGAGGTCATGTTTATTGTTCCCACCGACAGCAAGGGAGAAGCAAAGCAGGAATCACCTGCACATCCATGATAAATCATTAGCTGAATCAGATTTTGTTGAGTTTTGCATTCCATTTAAAACACAATAATAGCATAAGAAGAGCCCCGCTAGACCATGCCAAAGACTCATCTCATCCACCAGCCTGTTTTCACAGTGGTCAACCAGATACCTATTGCAGCAAAGTGACTGCACTTCTTGCAGGGAGAAGACCCTTCTCTGCACATGGAACATTGAGCTCTGTCACAGAGATGTCCACTTGGGAGTTGCATTTGCCTGATGTCATTTTCAGAGGCTATTTCAGGTACAATAAGCACAAATGGGAGAGTGGCTACAGCATTCCAGCAAGTTCTACCCAGCCACCCCATGCACATTCGTTGTAGTTTCTGAAAACACTACTATGAGAACAACTGCAGACACAGATAACTCTGTCCATGCATTTGGAAACCCTGAAAAAACAGGACTACCAAGCGAGCAGAGAAAAGCCGCCCATGTGTAGAATCACATATGTGGGAGTCATTTCAAATATTACAATGAATGGCTGTCATTCAGGGACTAAGCCTGCTGCTGCAATGCTGCTCACCATTCTCCACAATGCACATTATAGCTGTGAAAGGGGCTTGAGTCTGTCTCAGAAAGGAGGTTTATGTTGAGGAAAAACTCAAGGGTTCTGAAGTTTGTGCATCTTTTTTCCTAAGGTACACTCGCAATTTGCCAATGCCTTTCTTGGCTTGGGCAGCCAGGAAATCACCCTGCAGCCAGGCTCTTCTTTGAGACTTGGCGGGTGCCAAACCTCATGTGCTCATGTGAACTCCACCCAGCAGGAGACAGTGTTGAGGCAAGAACCTATGTAATGTCGTTTCTTCCACCTTCTCCAATCATTAAAATGGCCTTTTGCAGAGAGGAGGAAGGGATGAGGGTCTGAGGTTCATTTTTACAGAGTTCAGTAAGTGGCTGGCTTCCCCCTCCCTCTGTGCCCAGTGTCAAATACCTGCTGGCTTTATGCAGCTGTTAAGAGCATTGAGAGAGCATGCTCTGAGAAAGAATTCTAAAATAATGGTGGTGTTCTGCCTCTAGAGTACATCTGAGTACACCCCTCACACCTGGAATTTTGAACAGACTTGAAATTCTGAGAAAGTACCAAGGGCACCAGTCACAAAATGGATGCTGTGTATAGGAGAAGCCAAACCAGTGTAAACAGCAACTGAACTGGAAGAGAAAACAATCTCTGCTGCACTGCAGATTTCTGAGGAGTATTTATGGAGACTTCTTGCAGGTGCCATAGGAGGTACCTCTGGATACACGGGTGACTCCTGCTCTAAACCTCTCAACATAAAAAACTGAACTTTCTTCAGAAGTCCAGTTGGTAGCATCTTGCAAGTCCTCAGAAGGTCTGGAGATGCAAGAAGTCTAATCCTGCGCGCACACTTTAGTCAAAGCGCTGCAATAAAAAACAAGGGCAGATTCAAGAGAGATTGTTTGGCCTACCTGAATGGCTTCTGTGGTGTGATGAGGCTAGAGTCAGCCTTCCCCATAGCGTTATAAGGCAGAGAGAGAGCACCAATACCCCTTTGCTCAAGCTTCGGATGTCCCTCTCACTCATTCTGCCAAGGAAAAAGAAATTGCATTAAGATCCACATGTCTACAGGTCAGAAAAATCCCAGCATCTCAGACTAGATCAAGTTGCTGTTTCTGGAACAAACAAGCTTTATTTTAACATATTTCAGCATTTCAAAACTAAACGAGTGGAGCATATGGCACAATTGGGGATCCTGATAAACCAGGATTTACTTTCAAGCAAATGTAAATTAAAGTCCCGGAAGACCTTTCCCTCTGAAAGTGGGAAGGTCAGGCCAACATACACAGGGAGAGGTATGTCCAGAGATGCTGGGGGCAGGGCCTGCATCCAGGCCTGAACATGGCCATGCCCTCACACAGCCATAATAATAATCATAATAATTTATTATTTGTACCCCACCCATCTGGCTGGGTTTCCCCAGCCACTCTGGGCGGCTTCCACAGAGACCAAAAATACACTAAAATGTCACACATTAAAAACTTCACTGAACAGGGCTGCCTTAAGATGTCTTCTGAATGTCAGGTAGTTGTTTTTCTCTTTGACATCTGATGGGAGGGCGTTCCACAGGGCGGGCACCACTACGGAGAAGGCCCTCTGCCTGGTTCCCTGTAGCTTTGCTTCTCGCAATGAGGGAACTGCCAGAAGGCCCTCAGCGCTGGACCTCAGTGTCCGGGCAGAACGATGGGGGTGGAGACGCTCCTTCAGGTATACTGGGCCGAGGCCGTTTAGGGCTTTAAAGGTCAACACCAGCACTTTGAATTGTGCTCGGAAACGTACTGGGAGCCAATATAGGTCTTTCAAGACCGGTGTTATGTGGTCTCGGCGGCCGCCCCCAGTCACCAGTCTAGCTGCCACATTCTGGATTAGTTGTAGTTTCCAGGTCACCTTCAAAGGTAGCCCCACATAGAGCGCATTGCAGTAGTCCATGGCACACAACGACTATGTTTGTATTTTCTCTTTTCACAAGTAGTTGTACAAATATAGTCCAAATAACTTCGGAGCAAAATGAGCTTCTTTTTGGTGCCAAAATAAGTTGGTCCAAAATTCAGCCCAGGAAAAGGGAATTGGTGGCATAAAGGAAGATCTGTGTGTTCCAAATAGATTCCTGCCACTTTAAAAAACACACCATTTTGCCAAGATTCATTCAGCCTTTTAACAACAGGCTTTCTTGTGAAATAATAGAAATAAGTATTTGAATAATGATACTTACCTCCTACTGGGGCTTCACAGCTATTGTCTGTGCATTGGCCAATCTCATATAGACTCGGTATTTGCAAAGAAGGGCAAACATCAGGGCATCTAAAAAATGAAAACAAACAAACAAACAGCTACTTAAATTTACAGTGGACAGCGTCTGCCTAAAAGCACCAGTGAATCATACTGCCCAAGACAAAACTCTAGAATAACACATACAGTAGCTTGTAAACAGAGGCTAATCCTTTTTGCAGAAACAGTGGGATTATTATTATTATTATTATTATTATTATTAGTCCCTCTCCTGCCCTCCTCATATTTCAGCTAACATCATGGGTGCTTATTTTACAGAGGACAGTCCTCTCTTTGAAGGGTTGAATAGAACACCTGAACAGAAATCTGGGAAGGCAGGAAAGTGTTAAAAGGGCACAAGATCGCTGCTGAAGGAAACCAAAGACCTGCCTAGTCCAGCATTCTGTCCTCCTTAGCTGCAAGACTGTCAGGTATTATTCTTCCCTTCTTCCCTTGAGGACAGTGGTGGCAGCTATTTTTGCCAGGGTAGCCCACTCATAGGATAAATGGGACATTTGCACTGTGTCACGTTCTGTGAGGCAGACTGGGGAGAAGAGGATGCACCAGGCAGCTTGCTGCTAGGAACTTTTTCCAGTTCTTTCTGGACTCTACAAAATGACTGGCTGAGAGCAGCAGCTAACGGGCAATAGGTGAAAGGGGCGCGTCCATTCATGTAACTCCAGCTGGAATACATCTATATGGGGATCACAGTCAAACTGCTCTATACCTTGGATGTGAGAAATGTTGTTAAAAATGGGCCCTTGCAGAAGTGATTTTTCCCAAAACAGGTTGCACTTATTGTAAAGTGCATTTCTAGCACCTAAAGTTCTTGCATTTTGTTTCCTTTCTTTTTTTGCCTGCTGTCCAGAGTGCCAGATCCTACAGCAAGCCTATAGCTGCCATCCATCCTCCAACCACATCCAGACACTCACACAGGACATCCACCGCTTTCACTGGTTCAGATTTAAAAGAGAGGTAGAGCTGGGTATCATCCGCATACTGATGAACACCCAGCCCAAACCCCCTGATGATCTCTCCCAGTAGCTTTATATAGATGTTAAAAAGCATGGGGGAGAGGACGAAACCCTGAGGCACCCCACAAGTCTGAACACTCAGGGGTCTGAACACTCATCCTCCAACACCATTTTCTGGGCACGGCCCAGGAGGAAGGAGCGGAACCACTGTATAACAGTGCCCCCAGCTCCTCTAAGCGGTCCAGAAGGATTTCATGGTCAATGGTATCAAAGGCCACTGAGAGATCCAGCAGCAATAGAAAACAGCTTTCACCTTTGTCCCTAGCCCACCAGAGATCATCAGTCAGCGCGACCCATGCAGTTTCAGTCCCATGAATGAGGATGTAGAAATGTTAAGGGACAGCAAGCAGTCGCAGAGTATAGTCTTCTTGCCTGTGCAGTCTCAATTTACCAGGGATGGGGGGGAAACGACAATTCACAGCCTTGTATATCACCTGCTGCGATTTAACGGGGTCCAGAGTGAACAACCACAGAAGCTGTAAAACTTTAGTGCCCAATCAGAATTTATTAACAGGGAGCTGGAGAGCGAGTGTATGTTGTTTGTGGTGATGGAGAGCCCTTCCTGGGCACAGGGCCAGCTCACAACTGTTCCTTGTCAAAACATAACACTGGATCTCTAATGATTTATCTGTAAGCATTTTAATCTGTCATTCTATGACAGCAATTCTTAAACTCTTGTTTTATTGTGGCCCACTATTCTAATTTGCTTGTTCTTCAGGAATCACAGTACAGTATTTGCTATGAGGCTGCCTGAAAGGCTTCTTGGATGAGAACTAATCTCCTTCCAAACTCTGAAACGGCTGTAGCGAATGCACAGAAGGGGGAGCATAGTTTGTGTATGCACCATGTTACTGAGTTGTATTTGTTAAGCAAGGCCAGTAGTGGGGGGCCGATCCATGACAGTGGATGAGGCATTGCCCTACCAACCCCCACCTACCCTCAGAGAGCCCTTCCTTGCCTGCTTTCTTACTTAGATGTAGCCCAGGGTATGGCAGTGCCTGCTGGTTTCATCCCCCACAGACTCAGTGTTGCCCTTGTTCAATTCATCTGTGAGGAGCATGGGGACAAAATTAGGGCCACATTAGCAAGAGGGCTTGTTGCTTAATATGAGAAGAGCTATGAGTCTCAATGGATGCCGTTTACTTGATGACCAACTGCACCATCCCCTCAGTAGAGATGCTGGAGGATTCTGACAAAAACAGCAAAGGGAAGTGGAAAGGCTGCAGGTTGTATGTTCACCTGTGGTCAGGAACGGAACTCAGTCCAGCCAATATAATCTGTATTCATTCGCACTGATGTTGTTTTAAATATGCAAATGATACATAATTCATTACTTTGAATACATTGTTTTTGACATTTCCTTTACATTGAAATGAATGCAAGTTACACGAATAGTTTCATAAATTGCATAACTTATGTTAACTAGCGGACTGTGAGATGGCTAACACAGTATTTGGCAGAAACTGAACTGCAGCAGAACAGAAACCATGTGGATTATGATGAATACAGATTGGAATGGAACTTGCTGTCGTCTTATATCCCTACCCAGCATCATCTGCTGTCTTATAGCTATGCTATTATGGTGATGCCATGGACTGGCTAGATGCAGAGAAGTGGTGGGAGGCACCAGCCAGGGAACTCCCATGGGAAGGAAGGCCCAGAACCAGGGTAGAGGTGGTGGGACAATGATGAGTGGTTAGAGGGAGAAGGAGCAGGCTGCGAGGAAGAGGTGTCAGCAACAGGTGACAGGGTTTAGTGAGCAAGAAGAGTCTGTGCTAAAATGCAGTTCAGAGTCTGAGGCTGAAGCAGAGGCTGGAAAGGAGGGGGTCAAGAGCTTGCTGAAGAATCCAGGAAGCCTCCCCCTCCTGCTGCGACCAGCTCCCCTTCCCCCTTGGTCTCCAAGCACACAGAGAGAAATGAAAAGAGGTTAGTTGTGCACAGACACAGTTTGAGACTGTGTGGGTTAAACCCTGAAAAGGAGGAGTCATAGAGAAGGGTACTTGCAACTGCTTCCTCAGGGCAGGACCTCTTAGGAAGAGTTGCTGAGACCACTAAGCTGGAGCTCTGCGGTTTGTTTTCTTGAATAAAAACTGGCCTCGGGTGATATTTTTTGTTGTTGTTGCTGACCTACGTCCGAGTCAAACCTTGACAGGTGGGCACTCAGTTGTACAAGCACAATCACAAACCCTTCCAATTTTTTTCCATTCTCAGATAATTTTTTGTAAGGTCTCATAACATGCAAGTCATGTTATGGCATGGGAATCACTGACACAGACATTACAGAGACTAATGTTCAATTCAAACAGCCTTCTTTGCATTTTTCTAGTCAGACAATGGTGAGATCCACTTGCAAAGTGGTAGTATAAAAAGGTCCTGCATGACTTTCCAAACTAATAAGGAAAATGTTGACTCACAGCCATTTGGGATCCTTTTAGTGACCCAATTTTATATTATTCTAGCTACAAGCTTATTCAGAACTCACAAGGGGAGCCTAGAATAGAAAAAGTTCCCAACACATAGAGGGCTATGAGAATTACAACAGAAGGAAAGGAACCAGGAAGCAGAGCCTCACACTCCCTTCTCACGCAATGATAATCTCATGAGGAGGAATGTTGGAGAGAAGGAACAGCAGAATCCAGCATGGAACCAGGTGTACACAAGATGACTTCTAAATGCATTCTTGTGAATTCATGCGTGTTGAAACAAGTGGTTTTCATGTACTTTTTCAATGGTAATCCTATGACCAACACAGATCCATTGCCCACTCAACCACAAAAAGTTAATGGAGCACCTACTGAGACCCAACTTTTTACATAAATTCTGACCTTGATTTGGTATGTCAGAAAACAGCCTACCTCAGTCGGAGGCACTTCATAGGCTGCCCAGCTCAACTCAGGGTCTTTCTGAACTACCGTATTTCTCATTCCCACTTCCTCTCAGTTCCATTTTCAATTAAGCAACAGGCAGCTAGCCTGTTGCTTCGCAGTACCCTGAAGTGGACTCATGGTGGGCCTAGCCAGCTAGGAATCTCATCCCCTTACAGGCAACAGCAGCACAAAACACAGCCAAACCCCACTAAGCAAGGAGACAGGCAGCAAGCAAGGAGGCAGCTGCCTGCTAGCTAATCCACCCACCAATGCTCTGTCCCAGCTGGGGCACTTCCCTGTGTCTGCAACCCCATGAGGAGCAAAGCAGGTGATGGGAGGTGGTAATCAGGTGAACTGCTCCTTGGAGCATCCTGTGCTGAGGATGCCACACCGGAGAAAGAATGATGAGCAGGAGTGAGTGGGAGGGCAACCCAGGGGATCTATCAGGTAGCATCTTTTAACCTGGCAGTAGCCTCTCCACAAACAGTTTTAAGCCAGCCCACCTAGGATGAAATTAAGCATCACAATAGTGACTTGCCCTGTGAGATATTTTCATTCTCCGGAGAGTGCATTTGAACTTCACCTGCTCCTCTTCTTCATGAAATGTATGAAAACAGCAGTGCCTACATGATCAAATCTCCATTGTTTGTATTAGATATCACAGCCACTGGAAGTAATTTAAAGGATTGCTCCGATGTTTTTTTTTCCAAACTCACTGATGCAAATCTGCACTGCTGATTTGCTTGTTCTTCTTGGCAAACTCTGGCAAAAGGAATAGAAATAAATGTGCCTTGCTCCCAAAGACACATTTGACCTCAGCTATTTGCTAATTTAATATTACTTAATCTACTGGTCAGGATTTGTTATTTTGATTATTCTGTATGTCTTAATCCTGAAATAGTGCAGGGGTGCTTGCATGAATTTTAACCAATTTAAAGAGGGTGTTAAACTTGATTGAGCTAAGCCAGAGTTCTGACTTAACGAAGGGTCTTATTCTGCCTAATTCTGATTGGAGCTGGAAAAGGGGAGGAGCTCTATTTAACTGAGCACTAACACTGAACACCTGAACCAAGCAGAGGTTCACAGTCAGACTCTTAATGTAGATACACATATATGCACACTCTGCCCCATAAAGTATACAAGCCATTGACCCAAAAATGAGAAGTGTGCATAAGAGTTTCCAGCTGGGGAAAAGAAGGAGCCACACAGAGTATAGGCGTACGTACTAGAAATCCCATGGCAAAGACTAAAACCTCCTGACCTAATGTTGCCTGGTTCAGATGGAAATTTATAGTCTCAGGCATGATATTTATAGAAATGCTTTATTTGAAAACTTGTAGCCCTAACTCACTGTCCTTTCAACAGTGCTGCTCACAGCAACTGAGAGCTCCAGACTAAAAAATGTGCCCTCAACTCCATGGCACCATGGCTTTGGTCCTTTGCAGCGCACAGTTTGCATGCATTGAAATGATTTAACACTGGCCAAAGGGCAATCAAGCTGAGCGCTTTCTGCTCTGTACCTATCATTATACATGCCCTTCTCACATTCTTAGCACTGCTGAGGGGGCAACTAGCATGATTGGCTGATTGCGTGCGGTACTAATATGCTTGAAATTAAGAGAGATTGCGAGGCTGTGGCCATTAGGGCTCTGACTGATTGAAAGTCACACACAAAGATCAAGTGCAGAACCTTAGACAAAAGAAAGATGGAAGGCGGTGGTGAGGGAGCAAGGGAAGCCCATTGCTAAGGTCCTTGCACTTTCAAGTGGGTACATCTTGGCACCAGTGGGTCAGGAAACAGCTCTTCATGGGAAAGGTATGTTATTATATGGATTGTTTGCAATCAGCAGCCCTGTCTCCAAGGTCCTTTCAAAAGTGGCATTCACAGAAAGTGGAGAGCCTGATGGTTGCGACACTGCAGCTTTGGAAAACTCTCCATGCAGGTTAGCTTGCCAGCGGCTCACTTTGGTACCTGGAATGAAGACTTTCATTTATTTATTTGTCCAGGCATTGAATGAGTAACTTTAATGCGCTCCTGTATTTAATGCTTGTTCTGTTTTATGGCTGCTGCTTCCATTTTAGCCTTTGTATTTATAATGTTGCATTATTTTTTATTGCCATTTTAATCGAGTGTTTGAAATCTTTGACAATTTTAATAACATACTGTATACAGTGGTACCTCGGGTTAAGTACTTAATTCGTTCCGGAGGTCTGTTCTTAACCTGAAACTGTTCTTAACCTGAGGTACCACTTTAGCTAATGGGGCCTTCTGCTGCTGCCGCGCCGCCGGAGCACGATTTCTGTTCTCATCCTGAAGCAAAGTTCTTAACCCAAGGTACTATTTCTGGGTTAGCGGAGTCTGTAACCTGAAGCGTATGTAACCTGAAGCGTATGTAACCCGAGGTACCACTGTATAATAAAATACAGTACTTGTGAATGGTACTCTTCTGTGCAAAGTGTTTTTAAGGTCCAGGACCCCTTCCCTCCCTTTATTTTGTTATAACTGTCTTCTCCAATGTGATTGCCTCCAGATGTTTCAGACCACAATTCACAGCAGCCCCAACCAATACAAGCTGATGGGAGTTGTAGTCCATCTGGAAGCCACCACAGTAGAGCTACAGAAACTAGATGCAGCAAGCTGCCCTTTTTCTAAATGGTAGATGTTTATAACACACATAAACATACATACAATATATTTCATAATAATATGTTTCTATAGGATGCATAATAATATGTTTCTATAGGGTGCATATATTAAATATAGATATGTTAGTTTATATGAGTTTGTAAGTTTATATAAATGCTTATATAAAAAAATGCTTATATAAAAAAAATGCAGAAGAAAATTAAGAAATACAAAATGCTCCATTATAGCTCTTAAAACTTTTTTTTTTTTTAACTAGGCTTATTTTCTCATGCCTGGACTGTTCACACCCTGCTGTGTGGTATATGTCTGTTGAAACAACAAGAAGAGCGGCTAATCTGGTCATGCATCAAAGTGGTGAAGCAGCTGTTTAGAAAGTGCATGAAAACTGTTATTATACAACAGCTTACACATATCAACACAATAAGAGCAGCTGCACAGCCTGGACCCTCTGAGAACCTGTGGGCTCTGAACATGGAGTAGTGTGTCCCACAATCTCCAGTTAAACCTCACAGACAGATACAGTAGTGTCAGTAGGGGACGATAGGGCTAGGTTATGTGGAGTCATAATATGCGGGACCCTCATTGTCAACAGCACCCCCACAAATGGAGAAGACCTCCATATGGAGGCCTCCAATCACACAACTGTCTGATAACACAGTGCAAAGAGACCAAGAGCAAATGGCAACTGAATATGAACACTCTGTGACCTTCGGATGAACTGAAAGATTGCATCCGATTGCTCAGAAATGCCCCTTGCAAACATATCATGGGAACCGTGCTGCTCATGTTACAAACACTACAGAGCTAAAGCTCAAATGCTAGCATTGTGTGAAAGAGCTAAATGAAGGAAAAATAAATGAACACACACATGCCTTGGTCAGTCCCTCTCTCTTTGCAGTGAAACTTCCGTTTAGTTTGAAAGTCGCTCAAAATCACCTGGTACTTGCACTGCAAAATATGCATCTCCTAAGTAGATTGTAGTACATAACACACCATTATATGATGCAGCCGAAGAAAGACAGAACCCTATCCACATGGGGAAACTGCCATGCTATGTGTTGCTCACAGAAGGAGCAAGAGAGGATCTCCATTAATTTGCTTCCTTCCGAAAGCAAGCCCACATCAGCCAAAAAGAGCGGTAGTCTCATAATCTGGGGAACCGGGTTCGCGTCTCCGCTCCTCCACATGCAGCTGCTGGGTGACCTTGGGCCAGTCACACTTCTCTGAAGTCTCTCAGCCCCACTCACCTCACAGAGTGTTTGTTGTGGGGGAGGAAGGGGAAGGAGGATGTTAGCCGCTTGAGACTCCTTAAAGGGAGTGAAAGGCGGGATATCAAATCCAAATTAAAAAACACCATCCTCCCCCTGCTGTGCTGACTTACAGTGTGTGGTGGATTGGACAGCCCTAAATGGATTAAGGTTGATAAAAGAGCCAAATCATCCTTTTCTTTAAGAAGAAAAAACACATACTGGAGAAATGGCTATGATGATCAAAGGATACAGTCTCATGCCAAGACTCTGCAACCAACAGAGCCTTTTTGAACTCACTTGAGAGACATCTTCCACTGTACATTACATGGCAGCAAACCTTACTTACTACCAAATTAACACTCCTTGGAGGGCCTTGGCCAGCATCCCACTTGGGGCAACTATATTGTCTGGGTTTGTATTCATGGAAAAGCCTGATGTCCAAAACAGTTAACAACCAACCTAAGGGACACGAGTGGTGCTGTGGTCTAAACCACTGAGCCTCTTGGGCTTGCTGAGTGGAAGGTTGGCGGTTCGACTCCCCACAAAGGGGTGAACTCCCATTGCTTTGTCCCAGCTCTTGCCAACCTAGCAGTTCGAAAGCACACCAGTGTGAGTAGATAAATAGGTACCACTGCTGCGGGAAAGTAAACAGCATTTATGTGCACTCTGGCTCTCATCATGGTGTCCCATTGCACCAGACGCAGTTTAGTCATGATGGCCACATGACCCAGAAAGCTGTCTGTGGACAAACACCGGCTCCCTCAGCCTGAAAGTGAGATGAGTGCTGCATCCCATTGTTGCCTTTCACTGGACTTAACCGTCCAGGGGTCCTTAACCTTACTTTTTTACTTGTGCATATAGGGCAAACAAAGTGAATGGGGCTGTGGGGCCATGTGTTTGGCCCCAAGACCCCACATTCCTTCTACTCCTATTATTCTTCCACTGCAGTGTTGAGCCCAATATCTACACCTATCTAGCTAGATATATCTGTATCTTCTCCATATGTGGGGGATTCCCATGGAGCTGGAACTCTTGAGTGCTCAGGGCTCTAAATTATGTGAGGATCCTCCACACAGTGAATAGGTTAGAACAGAGATGTGGCCCTGCAGCCTTTCTTGCCACCATAACACATCAGCGATGTGTTGTTTCGTCAGCCCAGGACCACCATACATACTGCCCAGACTTGTGTCCCGGGGAGACTTTGGTGGTGCTACATCTTGGGTGCTGCTAACACAGTGGTTTGGCTTCCCCCTCGGAGGCACACTCCATTGTCTCTCAAGACAGATGAATACTAACAACCAACTTGAACATACATTTGTCAGATTCTTACAGCACGTTTTTCTATAAGTGATGAGAGTAGATTCCAAACTTGGGAAGTTCTGAATAACCAACTCTTGAAGTCTGAACAGCCTCAATTCAATAACAAATTGACCCTGGGTTCTTCTGAATTCAGACCTGGAGGATTAGGCTGGAGAGGTGTCTGGTCCTGTTGTGCTCCCGATGTCATAGGGAGCACGATGCAGTTTGGAATTCAGAAGTAGGGTCAAGAAATAATGAAGGGGTTTTGTTTACTTTCTCGGGGCGAGGGAAATCACTCATTTTGCCAAGGCCAATTCTGAACTGTGTGGTGGGTAGGTCACCCATCATTAATCTGTGTGCGCTTGCATTACCACATTTGTGGGTGCATCATAAATATGTGATGTGCGGAGAAGGCTCCAAGGAAAAGCCAGAAAAAGAGGAGGGAGGGCGAAACTGCATTAACTAATGCAGGTTAATTGATCCTCTGGAAAGAAAAAACACATACACAGAGTGCCGATGAGATCTCGGTTACACAAAGGCTGCTTTGCATTGGATTGTCAGTGTAAAGAGGCTTAGAGCAAGTGTCAGTGTCATTTACACCCCTTTATGCCTGCAGAGAGATGAAATGAGATCGGGGTGACACAGACCCTTAAGCAAAAAGTGCATCCTGTCCCAAAGGGATCTGTATTTAGCCTGTAAGGTCTGGATAGTTTTCCCACACTGCACCCCCAGGCACTCTCACCACTGGAGGGTTCATTATCCTTTCCAACATCCAGGCTACAGAGCACCCTAACTTAATAAATGATTCAAGCAGAGCTAAGTGATGGTGTGGGTAATTTGCAGTGGTAAATGTAATGTACACTGTGAGCCACTCTGAACAGACCTTGCTTGCTTCCCAGATGATGATTTTATTACAGTACTGTGGAAGCATGGGAATATACACCATGCCCAGCAAATATTAATGAATGAGGAATGCATACTAGGTGACTCTGGAAAGTGTCAAGGAAAAGGCAACTCAGACTCTGGAATCTTGGGGATCCCAATGAAAGTCAACCACACCACCCTGCTTATTCCCTCCGAATCACCCAAATATTTTTTTTTTACCTGCCCCAAGGTCATCTCAAATAAGATTGCCCTGAGGTTCACCAAGGGAAAGAAGATCCCCAGTGAGGGATAACAAATGCTATTTTTAAAAAGCAGTCAAGCTTGGAGAATGGCACTGAGAGTTATTTCTAGGGCAGACAGAGGGACAAGGGAATGCTCCAATGGCTCAGATGGCAACAAGCCATATGCCTCAGATAAGATAACACAACACAAGCCCGGGCTTCTCAAGAAAGGCTGGGCAAGAAATGAGGTTCAGTCTGCATTTAAAGGCAAACCTACAGAAGTCACACTTTTTGAAACAACAGGCAAACTGAAACACAGCCACTCTTCGAAAGTCACACTTTCCCAAATTTTGCAGTGCAGCTGTCCAGCCAAGTAAGGTATACAAAAACACTGCACAGTAAAGTATGCATTAGTGAAAACAACAAAGAAAAATGCATTATATTTGGGGAAATGGCGTGGGGAAACTGTATATTAGGCTAAACTGCATACAAAAAAATGTTTATTTGGAGAAATTCGCACTAAAGTCCGTGCTGGTGAAGGGCAGGTAATGAAGGTAACAACAAGAACGCCAAACCAGGGATTGTGGTATGTTCCTTCCACACACCCCAAAGCAAAGTCAGTGACATCAGCAGACTCACAATAATCAACTAGCTATGGTTTACCATGATGTGAAAACTAGGTGATTGCCTGATTCTGCTGTCCCCCTCAGGTTAAAAAAAACCAATAATCTGCATACATTCCCTAGGTCCTTGTGCCTCAACCTACTGGGACTTCCTTAGTGTCATCTACCTGATGGCTCGCACTATCCTGTGTTCATCAAAACCTTCATATGCACTGCATTCCATGACCTGTCAGGGAGTAAAGGCAGAAAGAGCATGTTTAAGGATGGAGGGTGACAAGTCTTCAAATCCTTACAAAATGAAAAACAGCTAGATGTCCAATCCATGTTATGCAAAACATCAGAGGGAAGGATGATGGCGAAGGTTGAGATGTGGAATTCTTTGTGGACTTTTCCTATTTCTTCTCAGAGGCTGAACACTCTGTTCTGCACTAAGCCAGAGGCGCCTTTTTAAGCACATACAGAAGGAGAGAAAACTGGCAGATAAAAGAAGTATTACCCCTTAATTTCATGAAGTTGTTTTAGGTGTTTTTTTAAAAAAATAAATCTCCAGCATCAGCCTCACTGGGGGCTGGGGGCTCTCTTTTCCATTTACCAAAAGCATAATTCTCCCATATATCTATAGAAAATGCTCAAAGTGGGGAAAACAAATTGAAAATCCCAAGCACAATTACTTGCAGGAACCCCTTACTCATGTGTGCCCACTTGACTGCTTCAATCTGTGGAACTGGAACTGTTACAGGCGCCACATAACATTCATTCTACACTTGTAAGAAACTGCTTAGCGTGGCAACATTTACACTTTGGAACTCCCTGTCTATTGACATCAGGCAGGTGCCTTCGTTTTACTCTTTTTACCACCTGCTAAAAACATTTTAGTTTAGGCACGCCTATCCAGACATGTAGAAGTTACATGCTTATTTATTTTTAGCTTTTTTTGACATTTATCACCTTTTGAAGATTTTTAGATACCTTCTTTAACTGTTTTTATTTTTATTTTATTTTTAAAATGTTTTATTTTATATTTTTGTAAACCACTTAAGAGGTTCTTACCACCAAGCAGTGTATAAATTTTGTTAAATAAGAGAAGCATAAATAAAAATGTGAAGGTCGTAAGATTTTCTCCTTAAAAAATATAAACAAACAAACATAAATTTAACATGACAACAAAGAACAGAACTCACCCACATAGCAGCGTAAAAACTATGACCAGCAAATAATGGGAAATTTGATGACAGAAGCACTGTAAGCTGCCCAGAGTGGCTGGGGAAAACCTAGCCAAATGGGCAGGAAATAATAATGATGATGATGATGATAATTCTGAAATAGCAACTTTCCTCTCCACTGGAAAGCCTTAAAAAAGGAGGCAGTTGCCGGGGCATAACCACTAACAAGGTCTGCCCCACTTTTGGGGGGGAAACGGGGGGAAAGAAACAGGGCCTCTGGCGGCTGTCTAAACACTCAAGTGAGTAAGCACACTTTTAACATGGTTCTGAAAAGGTCAAACATGCAATAAACCTCACAGTTTTCTACTGTAGCAAGGCCAGTTCCCACCCACCCCAATACCATTGTGTTCATAAAAGATATTATACTGTTAGGCCGATTAGGCTTGCCCATCTTTAGCAGCCAAGAGCTCTTGCTGCCAAAAGGCATTATGGCAGCAAACAAAACTCACAGAACCAATTTCCGTTCCCTGCTACAAAGTACCCCATTTCCACTTAAAGGTTAAGATTCATACTCTCTCGGCATTTATTTTTATTCATAAAAAGGCATTAGCTCCTTCTCTGGAAAACACCCGAAGCAAAGCAAAAGGGGAGGAGATGCATCTGTTTAACACAACGCATTCTTTAAAAAACAAACAAACCAGTGGCTGTTTAGTGAACCAGCAGTAATAAAATCTCCATTTAAAATCAAGCTCAACTTAAGCTATTTAACAGCATTATGCTGAAAAACCTTCCTGAATTCCTCCCCAGTCCAGCTTTAAACTCACTTGCTGGCAAAAAGAGTGCAAGAATGGACCTGGACATGCTTCTCAGTGCAGTTCAGCCCCGGGAAGAAGACAACCGCAACTGTGAAATCCTCATTCTGCAGTCCAACATGTGTAGAATTACTCCCTCCCCATATCTATTGGACTGGCATAGAATCTGATGGCTTTCAGGCTCGAGAAACATACAGGTTTGGGGGTTTTTTTGCCTAGGCTTGTGATGATGTCCTTTCAGGAGATTAAGACAGTAGCCATTGCTGGTTTGTTTTGGCTTTAACAAAAATGTTTTTGTTGAAAAACAATATATCATAAAGTAAATTGTGAGCTGCCTTGCAGAATATGGTTGAAAGGGGAGGGAGAGGAGAGAGGGAGGGAGAGTATGTACAGTGGTACCTCGGGTTACATACGCTTCAGGTTACATACGCTTCAGGTTACAGACTCTGCTAACCCAGAAATTGTGCTTCAGGTTAAGAACTTTGCTTCAGGATGAGAACAGAAATCGTGCTTCGGCGGCGCGGCAGCAGCAGGAGGCCCCATTAGCTAAAGTGGTACCTCAGGTTAAGAACAGTTTCAGGTTAAGTATGGACCTCTGGAATGAATTAAGTACTTAACCTGAGGTACCACTGTATACATTAGTGGCTTGAAATGCAGCATTATGGCTTCCACATACACCCTGCTGATTTTCAGGTTACAATTCCATGCTGCTGTACACATTACAGAAGGGGCAGGGATGTCTTCCCTTGATGTACATTACTTGATTTGTTTCTCCACCTCTGCAACCTCATCAGACTCCAACCCATAGAGCTGTTCCATGCACATGGCCTGTCCTCTCCATGTGTGTAATGGCTGTCTCAACTGTACACACCTCCGCTTCCACTGCAAAGTGAGTATGTGGCTAAAGTTTTCCAATTGGATGGAAACTGGTTCAAAGGGAAACGGAGTTTCCAACAGGAGTATTTCTCAAGAAACCACAGGATAGCTCTGGATTGCAGCTAACATGTTCTCATGAAGATGCAGTTTAGATGGTACCTGACGCCATCAAAGTTATCTAAGATGTACAAAAACAGTTCGAACAAATGATGGCAGTGTGGAGTATCTGAAGGAAACATGTTCCACATGTGGTGGGCATGTCCAAAAATAAAAGAGTTTTGGAATGTTATATATGATGAACTGAAAAAAATTATAAAAGTAACATTTCCCAAAAAACCTAAGGCCTTCTTATACTTGGAACAGTAAATAGAGAGATAGCAAGAAACTTAAAATAATTTTTTTTGTATACAACTGCTGCTGCAAGAATCCTAACTGAACAGAACTGGAAGGGGGAGAGGATTCCTACAAAAACAGAGTGGCTAAATAAGTTGGTAGAGTTCACCGAAATGGCTCAAATGGCAAACAAGCTGAAAAGCAATATAAATCAAAATTTTATTCAAAAATGGGACACGTTTAAGAAATATTTAATGAAATACAATAGTGGTGTGGCGTCTATGACAGCATTTGAATTATTTCTGAATATATGAATTATAAAACCAAAGGAAAAGGTTTTGTAAGTAGTAAGAAATTACAAGATATTATAACTAGAATAAAGCAATAGTTATTTGTATAACTGGATAATAGAAAATGTGAATACATTGGGGGGGTGGCGGGAAGTCATACGTATTCATGTAAGAATGTGTGGTGAAATGTTTTGTATACGAACAAACTGATTTTTATTTGTAATCCTTTTTAGAAATACCATATATAAGAATGTTTTGTTATCTATTAAACTCAATAATAACAATGATAATGTGTTCTCAGTTTCAAACGCCAGCAGTGGGAGAGTGAGTAAACAGTACTGTATACAGTAGTACCTCGGGTTAAGTACTTAATTCATTCCGGAACGTCTGTTCTTAACCTGAAACTGTTCTTAACCTGAAGCAACACTTTAGCTAATGGGGCCTCCCACTTTTGCCATGCCGCCAGAGCATGATTTCTGTTCTTATCCTGAAGCAAAGTTCTTAACCTGAAGCACTATTTTTGGGTTAGCAGAGTCTGTAACCTGAAGTGTATGTAACCTGAAGCATATGTAACCCGAGGTACCACTGTATTGTCTATGCTGACTGGCAGCAGCTTTCCAGGGTTTCAGGCAGGTTTTCCTTTCTAGCCCTACTTGGAAGATGGCAGCCATTGAATCTGGGACCTCCTGCATGCAAAGAACATGCTCTACAACAGAGCTATAGCCCATCCCCAAGTTTTGTTTTCTCCACATATGCATTAAAAACCCATATTTAGCTCAAACAGCTCTTTCCCCAATGCAATAAAGATTCTGTACTTTAGAGGATTTCCTCATGTTAAGAAGACCTCATATTAAATTCTATTGGCTCCATATTTCTGAAGCTTAGTTGCATATGATAACACAATGAAGCAAGTCACATACCCCCCCCCCCAAAAAAAAGCAAAAGAGAAAACCAGCCCCTCTTGCTTGATGTATTTAACTGATGACAAAGGGATCTGGTTTTCTTTTTAAAAAGCGCTTTATGTTCTTTTCTGCATTCCTTACTCCAGTGTGGCATGTTCCATATTATCCCAGCCTCTGGGGATTCCTGGTCTTCTTTTTACAATGTACAGAGACTGCAATCTTTGCAGGAGGTTCAAATGACAAGCTAAAAAGAATTGTAGCTTGAATGCTTATCGCAAGAGCTTCCCCTCAGATAACCCATTTTCAAGAGAATCTCTGAAACTGGGGAGCAACCCATGCTAGGTCCACCTATAGATGTGCATGTGGGGCTCTAGAGATGAGGCGGGGGGCTGGCTTGGGGCAAACATGCACCATGAAAGAGTTCTGCTTTTTTGTTTTGTTTTTAAAGAGAGACTTGGTTTGAGCTGTAGAGGTGAGGCAGCTGAGCCAGGGAGATTCCTGGGTGGAAGCAGCAGGGAGGGACCACCGCTCAGGAAGGGCCCATTACATTTCAAAGCAAAGCCTGTGCTTCTTTCTCTACAGGCAACAACCAATTTACGCACACATTGTACCAAAACTGAAAGTGACTGGCAAAAACAGCCCTAAAAGAGTCCAGAAAGGGTAGGAAATGTGTGAAAACAGTACTTAGCAATCCCAGGCGCTTTTGTACTGACTATTGAGGCCTGTGGAGAGTTGGGAGTTTGGGCAAGGAGGTCTGGACGAAGCAATTGCAGTAGAGTTTGGCATCTAGTATGTGCTTCTGGGTTTTTTTCAAGGGTTTTTCAAGGGTTTCCAGAAGTTTAGAGGGTGTTTGCAGGCTTTTCCAATAGTGTTTTCAAATACACACAATTTCACAGAAATGCGCGGTGCCTCAGAACGTAATCCCCTCATAAATTGGGAGCTACCTGGCTGTAAAGAATCATCTGTGACACTGGAGAGTAGCAAGACTGGAGCCAGGCTGGGGACAAAGCAGCCCAAAGCTGGGGACAGTCTGGAATAGCAAACTAGAGCCACTACACTGCTTTTTTGTACCAACCATTTGCAATTCCGCAGGGGCTTCGGGCCCTGATCATCAAAGTCCAAAGAAAGCTGCAGTCAAGTCACTTGAAATCCCCACGCAGCTTTTCCTCCAGGCTTGATTGAATCACCAGGACTCGGCTCCCAAATAGATTTTCAATGCCAGATTTAATCCCCAGTGCATGTGAAATAGGATATTAACACATTTGCATTGGTTAGCTGCCCTTAAATAATAATCCTTCCAGCTGCTTATTCATCAAAGAACAATCCTGACGTTACGGGAAGCTGAGGATGGCATACATGGGGGTGACTGCTACTTTATTATCACTGCCTAACGCGGCTAGCCCAATCAGTGTTATGGCAGAGCTCACATTTGAACCCAGGTTTCTTGATCCAAGTCTGACACTCCAGCCGCCATGGTCCCTCACACCTTTCCAGTCAACCACTGTTAAGCCCCATTACCGCAGTTCTGAATTCAGAGAACTCAACTGAAGTCATGACCCACACTTGGCCCCAAGCATGCGCTGGAAGAGTCAGAAACTGTTGTGTCGGGTCCCCCCCACACACACTTTTATTCCAGAGAGGTAGGGTGTCTTCCCCTTCAACCCACATCAAGGGTATTAAGATAAACAAATGAAACCCAACACGTCTTTTTGCCATGACCTGATGATTGTTGGCTTTTGCTGACAAAGAGGCAGGACTTTTCACTGGTGACACCAGTGTTGTGGAATGCTCTCCCTACTGAAATATAAAAGGCCCCTTGATATTGACATTCTGTCAGTTCTTGAAGACACACCTGTTAGCATTCCCCTGATCTTCTGACTTGAAACTCCTGTTTTAATGGTTGTTTAAACGGTTTCTGATTGTTGTGCTGTTTGAGTGGGATTGTTTCATTGTACATTTTAATTGCAGGTGCTTATTTTAATGTTTTGATGAAAGTGTCTTATTATGCATTTTAATTATGTGTGTTTCTGTAATTGGTTTTACACTTGCAAACCATTTTGAAACCACCTTGGCAATTAGGCAGTGTATAAATGAAATAATAATAATAATAATAATAATAATAATAACCTACTTTATCCTGACAAGAATCCTGTCAGGTATCCCAATTGTGATTGGCTCAAAGACACAGTGGATTTTGTGGATGCATGGGAACTTCAACCAATGCCTCCCCAGATACTCTTACCACTCTTACCCCACTCTCCAAAAATACACACGAGATTTGGTTGTACAAGGACCAACTTTGAAAAAGTCTATAAAATAAATATGCATGCATATTCCAGGAGTGTTTGAACCCCAAAAATCTGACAATGACTGTGGAAGGCAAAAAGCAAAAAAGTAGATATACACTGGTATCTAACTTCAGTGGGATTCCTGTCAGATTCCCTTTTTCTCCTCATGTCCTATTTCCTTTGCTCAGTCTCTCGCCCACCCCCAAGTATCACCGAATCATTGATGGAAAAAGTAGAAATAGAAAAGATTTAGAAAAAGAGAATTAGAACAAGAGAAACTCACAGAACAAGGATCTCTCTCTCTCTCCCCACCCTACTCTTGCTCTCTCTGAGAGAGAAAGGTAATGAACAAAAGATGTCCCGGCAGGGAAAAGACATTATTGAAAAGTCAGTTCTGGGGAGGCAGAGCATTCATTATTCGCTTTCTTTGACCTGTGGGTGGCTGGGAAGAAATTGACCCACTCACTAGGAAGCCCCTCGCAAAACATTTACTCCATATGCATCTCCAATCTCTCCTGTGACAAACAGGCCTGGGTGAAATATATATAGGGATCTAAGCCTGTCTGTGTAACAATCTATTTCACACATAAACACCATTGTGAAAAGGGTGAAGAAGTCATTGTGCATTCCGTGTTCAGCACTATTGAGATGCAATTAGGATAGAGAGAGTAATGAGGAAGTGGCCAAACTACTTTCAGGCATCCCAGTTGTTTTCTTTTTCATGAAGCACCACCTCCTGACCTCTGCGAGCAATTTTATCCACCAAGGCAGGGGAACGAAGTGTCACAAGAGCCTCTTCTCCATAGCACTATTTCTGCAGGATTAAACATCTTGTCAGCTGCACTTACCAACCTGCCATCAGATGCCTCTCTCTGTCAAGGTCGTCCACAGTTCAGCATTATAAGAGGGATGTTACAGCTGATTTATCAGCTTCCCATCAGAGCTCCTGGATGCCTGCAGGCCACAGGAAGAAGACACTATACTCTGAGTGAAGGGGGTTCTCCACAACCAAAAAACAGCATCCCTGCTTGAGAGGGATGGTGAAAGTATCAAGGAATGGGTATCAAAAATTAATAGCAAGTTCAGGTATTGGGGGGAGGGGGAAGAGACCCATTCTCTAAAACTGGGATGGACAGAAGGTAGATTGAGATCTACTAGTATATCTCTGAGTGAGTTGCAGCAGATCAGCTGCCAATTATCTAACAATAGCAACAACTAAAAAGTTTATCCCCAAAATTAGGTGGCTGAAAAAGAACATTAAAAAAAGAAATGGAGTGGATTTCCATGAAAGGGACTTCTGGGCTTGGTTCTGGAACTGATCGCAAAATTTCTGAGCTGAGCATGTGCTCAGAGGCACCCTATTCTCTTATTTCTTAGCCCACCCCTGTTTTGCACTAGGCTATGGTTGGTAAAACTCAGGGATCTGGTTAAAAAGAAAAAGTAGATCCTTAAAACATGGTGTCCACCCATCCCTTCTCTGAAAGGAAGAGCAAGAAGATGGTACTAGCACTCAAGCACAGAAACAGTCACTAGCACTTTTTTAGAAGAAGTAAAAGAAGAAGAAGAGTGCTCAACCTCGTAAGTGTATCTTGTTCCCTATATCTCCATGAAAAGAAAATGGTATGTTTCTTTAATGTCTGCTTGCCCTTGCTGAATCTCTTCCTCTACCTCTGGATTAACCACCTATCCCACCCACAATAGGCCTGAATTAGCATTAGAGCCAGTATAATTGTAAGAGTACTGGGAAGGGGAAACAATAATTTGGAAAGACCCTCACAACTTGACATGGTAAATGCAAAAGTAGTAACAATGCATCAGACCAGCTAGGCCCTCCAGCTGTTTTGGGACTACAACTCCCATCATCCCTAGCTAACAGGATCAGTGGTCAGGGATGGTGGGAATTGTAGTCCCAAAATAGCTGGAGGGCCAAGTTTGGCCATGCCTGAGCTAGGGGCACTCCTGCTTCTACAATAGGACTTGAAGTCAGGCAGCTGTCCGCAGCCAGTGGTGCTGAAGGCAGAACAAAGCCACATCCTCTTGCACACTGCAGTATCCTGCCTACATACCAAGTTGGCCCAAGAGAAAAGAGACTGAGAGCATCTGGAAAAGAAACAGCTGGCACAGGTTTAAATAGGATGGGCAAAGGCTCTTCTCTTGCCCTGTATAGCAGGACGGGGGAAATAGTGCCACTCCTACTCACTTTCCCCTTCTTCCAGTTCCAAAACAAAATACATGAATATGCCATTTATTGTTGCTGAGCAGCAGAAGGGGCACAGAAACTACTGTATATGTTCTTATAGCATGGCATTGTGGCTGTTGCAATCAGAGTCCTCTGCTATCAGACAGAAGAGAAGTGGACCTGCCTAGATGTTGATTTCTTCTCTTCCCCTCATACCAGAATGTAGCCAGAAAATTATATATATGGCACACTTTTCAAAGCATCTCTAGTAAGGAGCCTGCCTCCTTATTCTGAGCCCCAAGAGGTACAACAGCAGACAGTTCATAAGGGACTCCCAACCTTTCCCTGCTTGGGTGCCTCATCCATCTGCTGAAGGTCAGTCAATAACAGCCAGATGTTCGCAGATCCTCCAGGCAATTGAAATGTGAGCCTCTGTCCTTGAGCAAGTCAGAGAAATGCTTATCACATGAATGAATTACTTGAGCAGCAGCATCTGCATATAGAGCAGCCAATTCAGTTCTCTCACAGGGATAGCCAGGTTGCAAGAACAGAGCAACGAGGCAGCTTACGCCACATGCTGTCCTGCACCCTGAAAGCATCTTACCATCATCAGCCACAACTCTTTGACCCTCCACTCTTAATCTTAACCCCCTTCCTTCCAAATACATGGAAAATAATATATGCTAAAGACACTCCCCATTCTGAGTGAATGTTGAGCCTCATTACCTAGCATGGTGACCAGACTCAGGGATTTTAAATTCATCTAGTACAGCCATGTGGCAGGAGCAAGAGATTCTTTCTTAAAGGAAGACCTCTTGCTCCAGTCGCAAGACTGTGCAAGATGTGTTTAAAATGAGTTAATCAACAGGCAGTACTTAAAATAATATGAAGGAGGAGGAGGAGCCTTATCGCCACTTTCCTGTAATGAAGGGCCAGGCAGACCTTCAACTGAAATCAGCTGATAGATCAGAAGGGGGTTTCAACTTGACTGCAACGGTCTTTGTTCCATTTTCACATTTGCTGACCAGAGCACCTGTTTGAGGCAAGTGAAGTGCAAGAGAAGTCCTGGAGGCTTGCACAGTGGTCCTAGGCTAATCTCAAACTCAGTGGAAATAATCATCTCCCAACTTCCCTTATCCTACCAATTACTGCATGTTTTTGTGCCTTGTGTCCTCTTGGCTTTACCTGCAGCTGGCTTTGAGCATTTTATTTTATTGTTATTCTTCCTCAACATAAAATCAAATATACAAGCAAAATATAATCTAAGTTACAAAACACAAGAGCAGCACAAAGGTTGTAATTTCCAAATAAATACAGAGCAGATAATGTAGAAAAAGAAAAGCAGCAGAACACATCATAAAAGCCAGTTTTCACTAATTAGTTTGGCAAGGGAGTTTTGGATATCTGAATTTGACACATATATACTTTAAATTTTTTTACTATTATTTTTTATATGCTTTTAGCTTTCTGAGTTCTATTTGTGTTTGTTTTGATTTTTGTGAGCTGCCTAGAGTCCCGGTTTGTCCCAGTTCTGGGAGAAAGGCGGGATATAAATACACATGACTATTATTATTATACATTACATTGAATATATTTCCAAAGACAGTCCTCTGCATCCCAGACATACAGAGGGAATATTGGCTGACATTTCTGCACACATTTCCCATGTGATTTGGGCCCCATGAAACAATGGCAAAAATATTAGACCCTGTTCTTTCTGTTGGGAGGCTTGGAGAAGCATATTTAGGACTCCCAAGATCTGTCCATCCTGGCACTGATCTGTTCCACAACAGATTCAAAGACAACTCCCACCACTTGGAATTGTGGACATAGGAAACAGCCATGCAAAGACCTGTGATGGAGCTTTTACAAGGTACATTGGAAGATACAGCCCTATTATTAATGATACTGCTGCACTCCATTTGCATTACTTGTTTCTGTGAGGATGTCATCTTTTGAATTATGGCACCACCGGCTGTAACAGATGCCTCAAGTTATGCAGAATCCATTTGTCACTGTCCACAGGTAAGCCAGGATCTGCGGCCTGAGACCCGTTTCTTGAGCTACACAGTAAAATTGGCCTATCAGCGAACCATTTGTGTCTTCAGACAATATCAACATGATACCTTTGGCCCCTGTGTTACAGATTCCCTTTTGAAGAAATATAAAAAAGGAAGGAAAAACCTCCTCCCTTCTTCCCACACACAACTGTGCATAATGCTTCTCATGATCCCTGCTGGGGGAACTTTCACTCCCTACAAACCAGATAGGAATAGATGCCTTGCCCAAAGCAAAACAGGAAGGAGCAGTGACAGGCCCACCCCCTCTTCCCCCCACCCACTAAATCTTCAAAGCCCCAAGCCTGCATGACCACTGCCAAAATGCTCTATTGTAATCAGCAAATGAGGCAAGCCTGGCATGGAGCCTTGACTTGCAAGCCAGACAATGCGTTTTGTGACAATGCCAGTTAAGATACTACGGGCTCCTGTCAGCTCAGTTGCCAAAAGGGATTCTGACAGGAATATTAAAGACAGAGAGGCACAATGCCTTCTAGGGTTCACTATCCCTCACAGCTTTCCAACTTACTTTTATGATTTTCATGTGTTCATCCCCCAAGCATTTAATACCCCAGGGGTGCTGCTAGCGAGGCTGTCAGACACTGATGAGATTATATTATCAAGATAAAAGAGAAGCCACATCTAGTGCCCCCATTCCAGCAAAGGCTAATAATTACTAAGCGATAGAGCACACTTTTAAAAATAATAATAATAAAAAATTCCATTTTCCAGCCTTGGTCCACTCAGCCCCTATTGTGCCACCATCATTAAAGCATTTTATTTAATTTTTCAATGCAGTCCTTTTTTCAAAAGAGTCACAGCGTCGAACTGCGAGAACTAAATTGCTACAGTGAGTTAGCAGGGGCTAATCACCAAGAGTCAAGAAAATTATGATCTCAGCACTAAAGTGTTGATTTCATTTCTAAAAGGTTATATGGTCCAGAGTGAACATTAAAAACAAGTCATCCCTCCACCACTGATGGAAAAAAGCTGCTGTAAAACATACACCCTCCTCTTACCACCAGACTGCATAGGACTCTACTTGATGGGCGGTACGTGATGTAAATGAGGGACTGAGCCTAGAGCTTGCCAATCAGAAGGTCGCGGTTTGAATCCCCGTGACGGGGTGGGCTCCTGTTGCTCGGTCCCTGCTCCTGCCAACCTAGCAGTTCGAAAGCACATCAAAGTGCAAGTAGATAAATAGGTACTGCTCCGGCGGGAAGGTAAACAGCATTTCTGTGCACTGCTCTGGTTCACCAGAAGAGGCTTAGCCATGCTGACTACATGACCCGGAAGCTGTATGCCGGCTCCCTCGACCAATAAAGCAAGATGAGCGCCACAACCCCAGAGTTGGCCACGACTGGACCTAACGGTCAGGGGTCCCTTTACCTTTACCTATCACACTGAATTATGCTCAGGGTTCAGGGAAGTGCAGTTCTGTGTGCTGCAAACAAGCCTATGTTAAGAGCTTCGCTGGGCCACACAAATGGTCTCTGCAACCAGGTATCACATCTTATGTTGTTCATCACAATTCCTTCTAATTTCAGTTCAAGTCGCCTCATGCTTGTGTTTATATAGCCAAAACTGCACCACCCACACACAAGAGAAAGGTTCCAGCAGACTCAATGTAACCCTGAGGTTTGTGAATGTGTTAGTGGGAGATACTAATGTGTCAGTGGCACAGAATATTGAGAAAGTGAGGCCCATCTACATTACACATTTAAAGCTATTTAAACATTCATGGCTTCCACCAAACAATCCTAGGGACTATAGTTTGTTAAGGGTGCTGAGAGTTGTTAGGAGACCCCTAGTCCCCTCACAGAGCTACAATTCTTCCCAGGGAATTCTGTGAAATGTAGCTCTGCGAAGGGAATAGGGATCATCTAACAGCTCTCAAATTCTGTGGTCTTCGCAATCCAAGCTACATCTCCAAGTATGATTTCTGTCATTTCTGGCACCTTGCAGAAACAGACTCCAGATGAACAACTGGAAGGACTTCTACATAAATGGATGAGTGGCATATAACGGGCTTTAACACTACTCCACAAAACATGATGCCAACATTAGATTTATACCAAACCTAGCAGTAACATTTAGGGGGAAACCTTCTCTAATGGAACCTACAAAATATGAATCACTGACTATGACTCCAAGGTAATTATGCCAAGGCTAGTTATATCATTATTTGGACAAAAGTAAAAAAAGTGCCAGTTCTGCACCATTCTCCACTTTGAAACATCAATGTTTTCCTCATTATGCTTTCTTCATTTATTCTATTTAATGGTGCACTTTCCCATCAATGGCCCTCAAAACTGCCAGCAATAAGACACCAACTAACATGTTTTTGAACAATAACCACCATACAATGCCATTCAACAAATTGCCTTAAAAGTAGGGGCCACATTTCCTTGTGGATAACTTTCTGTGGCACTAATACAAGGGATGGAAGGGTCCAGACATGAAAATGGGACACAGCAATGGATGTAATCCTTGCTTTTGTACGGTAGGTTACATCTCAGCCATGCAAAAGGCAGAGGTCTTACATACACACCTCTCCTTCCTCCTTTCAGGCAAGCAAGAGGTATTAATACAGTTCACGGGACGTATTTCAGCCCAGCAGAAGTACATGTTGGTGGGGCCTCTGAGAGGGGGTGGGGCCCCGAGAGCCAATTTCAGGGTTTTCGGGGGGGGAGGAAAGCCTCTAGTCCAGGCATGGGCAAACTCAGCCCTCCGGATGTTTTAAGACTACAACTCCCATCATCCATAGCTAACAGGACCAGTGATCAGGGATGATGGGAACTGTAGTCCCAAAACACCTGGAAGGCCGAGTTTGCCCATGCCTGCTCTAGTCAGCAAGAGGTTTAGAGTATTCTCTCAAGCCACTCCAGCAGGTGAAATTACACCCATATGCAGAACCCATGAGGCAGGGTTTGGCAGCCCTAATCTGAACCATTAGGGATACGTCAAACACACCATTATTTCCTTAATGTCCACACTCAGGACAAAGTAGATTTTCCACACAGCTGTCTACATGCAAGGTTGCTCATATATTTAAAATATGAGCTTTCCTATACTGGTTATCCAGCTGATGACCACTTGGACCCACAGCTGAATCCTAAACCTCAGTGCCATTCTGTGGCAGCAAGTTCCACAAAATACAGGTAGCGGTGGAGAACCTGGGAGTCTCTCTGCTGGAAAGATCCAGCCTAGAAAGCAGAGCCTGCTCCAGGGCCATTCTGCAAGGAATATTCCATAATAAAAACAAGAGTAGACAGGCTTACAGAAATTAGACCATCACATCTCCCAGCACATGCTATGCTTTTGCTTCATCGTCCCTCAGTTTCCTTTGCCATCAGCATCTGTCCACAATAGCCTCATGGCATCCTTAGCCAGGGGAGAGCCAGAGAGTTGAGCCTATGGACTGGGACCACTTCCTACTCATGGAATACTGGAAATATTGACAGCAGCACTAGAAACCCAGTGTTAGTTTCCAACTCCCCTGGCCTTAAAAAAATCAAACAATGTAAGGGAAATTTGTGTCTGTAAGTTGTCATGCCTTAAAATAGTTACAGACAAGTGGGACTGTAGCAAAATGTTGCAATATAGAGTGCTCACTCATTTTGTTCTGTTTTCAGCTTAACAAACACAGTTCCCAAAGCCCTTCCACTCCTCAGGATTGGAAACTATCCTACTCATTGCTACATTCACAGTCGCTCCATCTCCATCTTTCTAGCCCACATTCCAATAGTATATATGAACACAGTGGTACCTCGGGTTACATACGCTTCAGGTTACATAGGCTTCAGGTTACAGAATTTTACCACGGGTTAAGAACTTTGCTTCAGGATGAGAACAGAAATCGTGCTCCGGCGGTGCAGCAGCAGCAGGAGGCCCCATTAGCTAAAATGGTGCTTCAGGTTAAGAACAGTTTCAGGTTAAGAACAGACCTCCGGAATGAATTAAGTACTTAATCTGAGGTACCACTGTATATAGAAAACAACCACAAAGAAATATAGGCTTATACAGTATCCAGTTGCAGCAGTAAATAACTGTCCTGTCAAGGCAAGGATTTTCACTTGGGTCACAAGACTTTCTTCCCTCCTCCCTCCACCCACCCCCTACATCTGTTCAGTTGGTTCTCCGAAATCTCCAGAGCAGATTTAGAGAGGGTACAGGGCACACAGGGGAGGAGATGGAGGGGAACCCACTGTGCAAGCAGAAATCTGTGCAGTGGTGAGATGAAGGAATTGGATACCACCTACAGAAGCACACTTTTGTGGTAAAAGTGGGAGCGTCAGGCACCTTAAATGGTATTGTCGCTATGAAAAATAATCAGTTTCTCAATTTTGTACACTACAAAATTTAGTGAGCTCCTGGTTCTCAATTGTATCCTCCTTAAGCTGCAGGTGATTTCATTTTAAAAAACCTTGAGCAGAGGATGCTAACAAATCACCACCACCATTTTCTGTGTTTCATCTTACAGATCCATTGCTCCCATCACTATGTGATAAAGGAGCTTGAGAGTGTTATGGTTCAACCACCAGCTAAGCCATTTTGGGGCAAGCACTTTTCTTTGGAATCTGGCCATGAAGTTGCCCTCAGTCAATTTTGTGATGGTTCAGTCTTTGGCAGCTGAATATATTTATCATCTGGTTGAGGGCAGCTGGTGACCTCATAGCATCCTGGTTTCAGCATGCTTGAGACCATGTATAATTTTAAACAATTGTAAAGAAGATTTGCTCTTCTATTTGTGTAACAGATTAGTGGCCAAAAGGAGGAGATGACTCAAGATTTCTGAATTTTGTAGATACTCTGATGGTCACAAGCCACTCATTTCAGCAAGACTACCTGATTTGAGACAGCCACAATTTTGAGTAAGATGGCATCAGGGCTCAGCTGCTACCTGCAAGGCCAAAGAGTTGAATTTACAGCAGTCTTCCAAACATCATATTTTCTCCAGGAAAAAGTAGTAGCAATGTCTCTACCCCATGATGTCACCCTCCTATCAAGGAAAGGTGTCAGCATTATTTATTTATTATGGAAGGAAATGTGGAGTTCAACATAGGCTCATCTGCTACTGCCCATGAATTAAAAAGAAAAGAAAAACTAAAACATGTTCTGCATTTATACAGATACAAGTGCACACAGAATTGGACTCGCAATTCCTGAAATCACACAGGAAAAGACCTGTGGCCCTTAAGCACAGATCAGGGTATCATTCTGTGCCCAGCTCACTGCAGCCACAAGCTGCTGTCAATTCTGAGCAGCAGTGAACTTTTGACAAGCCCTAGAGCACCTGCCACTTGTACCAATTGCTTTGCTAAGCCAGGTGTTCTCATGCATCTACAAAATTAGGCAGGGAAAAGAGAGGGAATGCAATTGAAATGCTGCAGGGAAATTGTGCTCGCTGAGGCTAACTGGGCACTTAGTCTTGGCCAGTATGGCCCTCTTGAGGTCCTCTTGACCAGCAGTTTCTGCTAGTCAAGAGAAGAGGTCACCAGACAATGGACAGTGTTTTAAGTTGCAAGGAGGACTGCTCCCATACAGCTTAAACGATTGATGGAAGGAGGGAGAGAGAAAGGAGATAAGTCTTGGAAAATACGCAGCTTTAAGCAGACATTCTCTGAATCCAACTTTCCTCTACTGTTAGAGTAGTAACAGTATGCATCTTCAAATATACATCCCAGTGCAGAATGTCTATCAACACAGCACTGCTTTCAAAGGAATTTGAATTTGGATGGTGCACATCAGAACTCACATTCCAAGGAATGTAAAGTGGTGTGAGGAGACCAGCACTCCACTAGACCGCACACAAGCCACAGCATTTTCATGAGTTGGCCTATGTTATCATCATCTTACTTATGTCCTGCTCTTCCTTGAGAGTGGCTTTCCATGAGGCTCATGGGGGTCTCCCACTCAAGCATGGGTGGTCCAGCAGCTCACCTGTACTGTAGGATTAGATGCTCCCAGACCCAAAACAGGCCTACATGTAAACAGGTGACTTAAACTGTATAATAGGATAAAGGGGGAAAGCATTTCTAGAAAGTAACAAGATGCCTTGAGTGTAATTTGAGAAACAAAATTATTTTGGTTTATGCTTCCAAGGCCAGCCCAAGACATTTTGCCACCTGGGCAGATCACAAGTGACACACTCCACACAAGTCAAGCTGTTTCGACATCAGAGGCAGAAAATCCAGCACGCGCTGCTTCTTCCCCTCCCTGGAACTACAAATGCAACAACACGCCTAATTACGAATCTGCTACCCTTTCAAAAACACCCACAATCAGCTGCCTGAGGCAGCCGCCTCCCTCTGCCTAATAGTAGGGTTGGCTCTGCAACAGCATCCAGTGAAGCAGGTGTCTTAACCTGCAGGTTGGGTGGTCCTGAGAGAAAGTAGCAACAGGGGAAACGGGGAGGCCCCAGGTAGGGGTGCCCTCCATGTGGCTGTGCTACAGCCCTCAGCAGCAGCCTGCTTCTCTGACACCTACTGTGACATCAGGGTTATCTTTAAAGTGATGCAAAAAAATGCCACTCTCACTGCAGAAGAAATTACCTTGATCCAACACCCCCCCCAAAATAAATAATAATAATAATCAGGGGTGAGGCAAGGCAACTCCCTTTGTAGGTAAACACTTCTCCTCTGTACCCTTATGGGACCCAGGAGGTGCTCTCCATTCTGTGGTTGATGCCAACAGCCTCCATCCTACCCTTCCTGAGCTTGTCCATTGCTTCTGCGAGCCAGCTAGGGAGCTCCATCGCACGAGGGTGAGGTTGCAAGTCAGCAACGGAATCTGGGACTGGCAGGACACAAGTGGGGCAGAAATGTTCTTTCCTATGTTCTATGCGGGCCGAGATCGACCTCTGCGGAGAGCAAGGTGCTGGTTTCGCATGCTAAGGACCAGAACTCAACAAATCCCCCCGCAAGCATTGTTGGGGAAGGTATGAAGACCTCCAAGATTCACTGCCTCTTGCAGATACCCCGCCCATACTGTGCTTTCCTATTCTACGCATGGAAGACTGCTGAATTAACAGTAGGGCTGACCGAGGAGAATTAGGAGCATTTGAGGTTGTTACATTTCCTGGATTTCTTGTTAGTGGCCGGTGCCATTTAGTTTTGCACTCGGAGTTTTGCTTTCCACCGTGTTCTTAAAGCTTTAAATCACTCTCTCTCTCTCTCACACACACACACACACACACACCCCTCTCAAGAACACCAGTTGTCTTCAAACGTGCGCACTGCCAAAGCCCAGCCAAAATGGAGTGCACGTCAGACCTGCCCAGACGGCATCGGAGCCGCCGCGAACTCCGATCGCCGTCCCGTACAAGCGGAGCCTGGCTTAGCAGACCCCGTTTCATTCTTCTGACTGCCGGCGCTCCAGTTTCCCTTGAAGCGAGAGCGAAGGGACCCCCATCCCAGATCCGATCTCGACAACGCGCTCGGCGCTGAGAACGCTGAAGTTCAGTTCCCAAACTAGCTCGCCCGTCGCTCCAACCCCGAGAGCGCGCAACGCAGGCACCCTGACCGGCCTGCTGGCCAAAGCCACCGCGTCCCCGGTGAGCCGGCCGGGCACAAGCAGGCGCGACTGAGCGGCGCAGCTCTCGTCGTCCAGCCGGCTGCAGGACCACCGCCAAGCCCCCAAACTTGCGCGAGAGGAGCCCAGAGGCGGCTCGCTGCCCCGTCGAGCCCGCGGGGAAACTTGGCGCGCTCGCCCCCCTCCGAAGCGGCCGCGCCGAGCCATCCCCGACGTGCTTCCCTTACCGGTGGGCGGCGCGTCCTGGCGGCGGGCCCCCTCGGCTCTGGCGCCCCTCTCGCTCTACCCAGCTTGCTTCGCCTCAGGAGGGCCGTCGGGATCCGTCCGTCGCGGCCGCCAGTCAGCAACGGTGCCTCGTGCCCGCGCCTCCTCGGCTCTGGCGCCCGGGGCCGCCTGGCATCGCCTCGGCCAGTCTCTCCGGCGGGGCTGCCCGGCGTCTCCCTGCTGCCGCTCGGCACGCGCGCGCAGCCTTTGCAGGAGGCTCCGCTCGCCACGGCATCCGGCTGCCTTTGCTCCGTGCGCTGCCAGCCTGAGCCTCAGCCTCCTCCGGGGGCTGCTGGGCGCGCAGAGGCGGGCGCACGGAAGGACCGCAGCGACCCCTACAGGCCGCCAGGGGCATTCTCCCCTTTTATGGAGGGGAAGGAGCGTCTTAGGCTCCAGGGATCTAGGGAGGTCCCCTTACTAGATTCCTCCCTTCCGTCTGGGCGTAGGGGCTGCGCTGCGCTTCTTCCCGCGGCAGGTAAGAGTCGTTGCACCTTCATCATCGGCGGTGTGGCAGGCAGAAATTCAACAGGTGGAGCATGCTGGTGCAGAGGTAAGGAAAGCGTGACTGTCTGCCTGACGCGAGGCTGTTCGAGAGCAAAAGTGGCGAGTCTGCGTTGTCCCTTCGCTTCCAAGGCTACAAGGAAGGAGATGCATTTCCTTCCTTGCCTTTGGGTGAGGAGCTGCATTTTGGGGGTCGCTGGAGGTCGATCAAGTTTGCGCTCCCATCCGCGCTTAATTGGGGTTGGGGTTCAGCAAGGGACAGTATCAGGGGTGCGTGCATATTGTGCCAAATTTAAAGGAGAACAAAGGCAAAGCGCTGAATTTCAAAGTATAAAATGAATTTAGTGGAAGACGTTGGGAGAGAGGAATCACTAATTGGCTCAGTAGGTCAGTGAGAGCCAGACTGGCAGAAAAATAGAAGACACTAGGCTAGGACTTCTTGGCATAGTGCAAAGCCTAATAAGTCACTGGTCACATTTTGCTTCTGCAGTGAACACATTAGATGGCATTAGGAACTCTCTGTTTCCCACCCCCCACCCACAATGTCGGAGTATCACACTGACCTGCCTTTCAGGGTTGTTGTAAAGAGTCCAAGAATACATGTGAAATATTTTCTATGCTCACAGTTTCGATATAAATGCAAAATAAGAATATAATGGCTGACCACTCTCTCTGCTTTCTACAGAGGTCACTGTGAAGAGCCTCCCTCCCTGTGTCCTTTCTTGCTCCTTCTCCTGACAGCCTTCTGCAGCCTGAAGAAAATATAAAGGGCCTGGTTCTGTCTCCTTCCAGCCCCAGCTGTTCAGTGCCATTCTGACCAATGCAGCTGTATGATGCTTGGAGCTCAGGAAGGGGATTCCCATTGCAGTTGCAATGAGTGGGGTGGTGGTCAATGCAGGAAGGCTGCTGCTGCAGAGTGGCTGGCAGTCCATTATGACCTGATGCAGACGTATCTACAGCAAGGTCTACTTTAACTGATGGGCTTCTGGGGCCAGGATGGATTGCAGCTTCGGACCGGTTCACAAAACCTGTTTTATTCTATATGTAGGTAAGTGGTCTAGTCCCTGCCATTTTCCAGTATGTATTTGGATAAACAGTGTAACATGCCCCCCATGCTTGGAATAATCACAATTGTAGAGCAAATGTGTAGCATGAGATAACATTTAAACATTATTTGGCCGAGCAATATATCACAAGAATGCACACACTTAAAATGGGCCCTGGGTGATTCTAACATTTTACTATTCAGGATGCCAAGATCATAAAGCTTAAAAGACAACAATAACAATTTAATGGTTATTGAACAAGGGAGCTAAATCAAATGCATTTTTAATACTAATCAAATAATTGAGGGAAACCCCTTAATAGTCCTGTGATAACAAGCCAATAGTGTGTTACTCTCCAAATAAAAACGTTTTCGTTGTGAAAAGTGAAACCAAATCAGATAAATTTCTTTTTTTAATCACTGAAATTCTGGTTAAATTAGATCAGATTGTTCACCGGATGAATCCTGCACAATTAAAATTTCATTGCTGTAAGTACAAATATGTTTGTTTCCAAATCATTTCGCTGAAAATGAAATCCCCTTCCCACAGAAGCCTGCAGCTTTCAGGATTTCACAAAGTTCTTTCGGTATAGAAAAAGGCATGCTGAGCCGAGGTAGTTTTTATTCTTCACAACTAACAGCTCCCCAGGCAAGGAAGAAAATGAAATCCTAATGAAGTTCATTCTATCCAAAACTCCAAATGTGGCCTTTTAGGACAAAACCGCTGATTTTATGTATGTAGATTTTACTGAAAAACCACACTGCTCTTTATACCAGTACTTAAGTGATCTTGTCAATTTCAGAACTGCCTCCTAAGGTTTTGAAAGGTCAAGTGCTTAAGTTTGGCTTATATGGTCTTCTGCATTTAATGCTGTACAGAAGAAGCCCATATCAATGGGTTTTGTATAAGAGACCCAGAAAAATTAACTGGATTGTTCAAGGTTACACACAGTCTTTGGCTGGAGATGGAACAATGGCTACTAAACCTGCTGGCTATTGTCTACCTTCACTGATCTCCATACGTCTGAATACTGCAGGAGAGGAGAGTGCTGTTGTGCTCAGGTCTTGATTTTAGGCTTCCCATGGGCATCTAGTTGGCCACCGTGAGAACAAGATGCTGGACCAGTGAAAAACGTTTCTGTACCCACTTTCTCCATGTCAGCCATCATTTTATAAACCTGTATCATGCCACCTCTTACTTGCCTTTTCTCTTAAACTAAAAAGTCCCAAATGCTGCAACCTCTCTTCATAGGGGAGTCGCTTCATCCCCTTGACCATATTTGGTTGCAAGGAAGTGTCCCTTTGCGCTATCCCACTTCCCTCTTCTGCTAGCTCATACATTCATTGATTCATTCATTCATATGCCACTTTTCCATCAATAAATCATGCTCAAAGCAGCTTACAACAAAGAAAAAAGGGAATGCATTCCAAGCAAGCATTACAGAGGATTACTTAAACAACCACCAACTGGAAAAATAACAAGGGGCTTCACAGTTTTACCTTAGTCCTAGAAACACCCCTCCCATGATGTCGCTCAGTGTCCCTCTCCCGCAGCTTTTTATAAGTCTCAGCAGTTTCCTTGTTCTCTAGGACCTTACACTTTTCATCAGTATAGCATTGCTGGCAGAAGGGGGAGTTATTTAACACGTTTCTCCAGTGCCATTTTCCTGATCTAACTTGCCTCCTAGCTGCTATTTGTCAGGTGGCAGGGGGCGGAAATCAAGAATTATGTGGGAAGCTTCCTGTTGCTGGACAGAACAGGGCTTGATTGACATAGCCATTTTGGGACAAAAGGGCGGGAGCATAGTTAGACCCTCCAAGCCTCCCCATTTTGCCCGCAATACTGTTTTGGCCACACCCACCTGCCCTACTCCTGATGTCATGCATGATGTCAACTGTGGGACAGGTAAAGACATGACTGGGCCAAAGGAGGTTTGCAGCCACTTGTAAGATTGTTTAAGATTTAACCCTAACAAGGTCTTAGAGGCAAATCATCCCCCAACTTGGACCATTGGTCCATCTTTGCCAGTGCCAGTTACTCTGTCTGGCAGAGATATTTCTCAGAACTTAAATCCAGTGTTCCTTAGCAGGTAATAGCAGGGACTGACCCAGAGGCCTTCTGCATGCAAAGCAAATGCTTTGCTACTAATGCTCCTCCCTTGGATGATGATGATTTGTTACTTATACCCCACCCATTCAACTGTGTTGCCCCAGCCAGTCTGGGTGGCGTCCAACATAATATAAAATAAACACAGTGAAGTATCAAACATTAAAAACTTCCAGATACAGGGCTGCCTGCAGATGTCTTTGGAAAGTTGTGTAGTTGTTTATCTCCTTGACATCTGGTGGAAGGGCATTCCGCCACTAACTTCACTTCTTGCAGCCAGAATGCTTAGAAAATTTCCATTAGTGGATCTATGAGTGGTGGGAACTACAGTTGCATAGTGTTTCCCCTGTGGTCTCAGTTTCAGCCTTTTACTGTCCCTATGATCAGATCATAAAAATATCGGAACCACCAGGATATGACTCCAAAATCCTATAAAACAGAATAGGTAGGACGGATGCAAATAAAATAGAAGGGGGGGAGAGAGGGAGGGAGGGAGGGAGAGAGAGAGAGAGAGAGAGAGAGCACACTTCTGGGAAACTGCTATGAAAGTGAAGAGGCAACATTTTGGAGCAAAGAGTTTACACTGGAGGGAGTCCTTGAGGTCAAAGGTTATGTGAACCAGCACACTCTGCAAATACGTAGTAGCAAATGAGGTCACAGAAGGTACTGTACAGTGGAGTTCTTTAGTTTTGGAGCAGCCTTCTCTGTGCAGGATGCAGCGGCAGCAGCAGGAAAGAGGCACGAAATGAAGATGTGTGGCTGCAATCAAATTGCCCCGTAAAAGGAATCACAATAAATTCTGCCCTTCCCGATTACAGGGGACAGGCAAACCTTCGAACCCATTAAGGGCTGCTCCTTTTCTTGATGAATTATCCAGGATGCACCAAGCTATTTGCTGAGCTCTACTGTATTACACTAATTATAAATTAATATATTGCTCATTACACACACTGAAGCTATGTAGTCAACTAATGCACTGCACCAAGGAGGCTATTTTGAAGCATCCTCTGGTGTTCCAGTGATCTAGAGGCTTCATTTATTCATGGATTGGTTGAAAGGCCACTGCTGAAAGACTGTTCCCCGCCCTCCAAAACTCTGAGCTGCCAGAAAGTGCATTACCACTCCAAAGGTAACGTTCTGTACATCGGGCTATAGCCTCCTCCTTTTGAAGCTTTTATAAGGCACTGCAGCAGGGAAATTTCTGTGTGGAAGTGGAGCAAATAACATTCTTTCATCTTCTTTATTCCGGGGTTTGAACTGACTTTCAGTTTTGTATGGTCTGCTTAAAACACACACACACACACACACACATACACACCAGTGTGTGCTGCATTTCTAAAGTAGGGCACTTACTCAAGCCAGGCATAACTAATCTGGATTA